TCTCTGCTCTAAGGTCCCTCCCAACCCTGACATCCCTTGTTCTAAGGCCAGCCTTGACCTCCTCCCCTGTTCTAAGGCCCCTCCCAGCCCTGGCATTCCCTGTCCTAAGGCCCTTCTCAGTCCTGACTTTCCAGCAATCTCTAAATTCATTTTCCAAGCCCTCCCTTTCCCAGGCATGGCCCAGGTCTGGATCCAAGGGCAGGACTCTGTGCCACCTCTGACCTACTCTAGGCCGACTCTAGGCCAGCTACTGCGCTCTTTCTGCTCTGGCTGCCTCTCTGGGCCTCTAAGCGTCAGAAGGTCCAGCAGTGCATTTACAGTAGCAGTTTTCTCTGAGGAGTTCCTTGTGCCGGTGAAACCAGAGGTCTTTTTACTGTCTCTCTCCCCATTTCTCCTGATTCTATGACCCCTTCCCCTAAGGCTCTCAACATTCTCTCATTGACCCTTTAGCCCGGGTTTCTTTCCTCAGGCCAATTCTTTGAAACCAACCAACCCAACCCCCAAACTCAGACTTCAAATAGCATGTGATCCCCTCAGTATGGCTACTCCCTTCACTAATGGAAAACCCTCTGGTTTCATGCTTTAGTGAGGTTAAAAAAATATTCATCACCTGGTGTATGACCTCTTCTCTCTTGATAAGGAGCTGCTTCCCCACCTACAAATCACGCCCCTCCCTAATCTGTTTTTTTTTAGAGGCAATTGGGGTTAAGTGACTTGCCCAGGGTCACACAGCTAGTAAGTGTCAAGTGTTTGGTCTGAGGTTTGGTCTGAGGCTGGATTTGAACTCAGGTCCTCCTGACTTCAGGGCTGGTGCTCTATCCACTCTAGCCACCTAGCTGCCCCTCCATTTTCTTTTCTCAAGAAACATTGGTGGGAGCTACCAATCACATCTTCCGAAGTCAGATGGTGAAATGGGCCTCCTCCCTCTCGGCAGAGGGGTGAACTAGAGGTGCGGAATGGGGCACACATTGTCATACGTGACCAGCGTTTTGATTTGTTTGGCTTGAGTGGACTTATTTGTTCCAAGCCTTTTTTGAGGGATGAGGAGGAAGTCAGTGTGAAGAAACAATGTTTAAAAAAAAAAGAACATTAACAATTCATTTTTAATGAGTCATGGGCAACATTAGATGACAATGCCTGTTGTGGTAGGGGTGAGTTGGGTATCTATGGAAAGAGAGGAGCAGGTGAGGACTTCCCAACTCCTGGGCCCTGTTCTTCCCCACTCTGCCTCAGTAGGGCAATTGGTCCATCTGTCGAAGTGACCTCCGCAGGTTTGTAAAGAATCCTGAAGCTTTTATTCTGGTTCTAAAAATATAGGAACCTTGGCAAACACTGATGCTTGTTCCTCGGATTTAGAATCCTGAAAATTCAGAGGTCCGCAATGCTTTACACTTTCATTGCATTGAAAATAAGGGCTGGCCACAGGCAAAACTCTGAGGGGCTGGTAGGGTACCTGCAGGGTTCCTTTAAAATACCATCACAGGCGGGGTGGGGAGGTGGGCTGGGAAAAAATAAGGCATTCTAGCAAAGGCCACCTCCCAGCCAGTGAGTCAAGGATCCCCAGATTCCTGGGTTCTCTTCTGTCTAGGTCTAGAGATTGTCAGTCAATGAGCATTCATCAAGCCCTTACTGTGTGCCAGGCACTGGGCTAAGTGCTGGGGATGCAAAAGAAAGCAAAAATAGTCCTTGCCTTCAAGTAGTTCACAGTCTAATGAGGGAGATGCGTAAATAATTACGAATTAATTAGGTGCTAATTAATGTTCAATATACACATGGAGGACATGGAAAGTAATAGAGGGAAGAGAAAAGAGTTGGGAAAATCAGCCAGTAACGAGAATTCACATTGAACTCTAGATGTTCTGCTTCCAGCAGGAAAGTCTGGGGGTACTCCAATCCAGCCCCATACCTTTACCAAGGGCAATACAGAGCAGAGGGGATCTTCTATTTAAAACAAAACAGACCACCACCAAAACCCAAAGGATAAGGATTCTATCAATTCCCTCAACGGCCAAATCCAGAGGCTGACTCCTGTCCATCTCCCCAATGTAGAAATGCAAGCCCTTTTCTTCTTCTTCTTCTTTTTTATTAATTTATTTTGATTTATCAATAATCGCTTCCATATGCTTTTGAGTTTAAAATTTTTCTCCTCCTCAAGCCCTCTTCTTTTGTCCAGTCTTTATGGGAACTGGAGCAGAGCTAATCATGGGCTTCCTTCCCATGCTGGGAGCTTCCTCTTCTCTTGGGTTAATTGGCAAGAGCCTTGGATTAGAAGTCAAAGGATCTGGGTTCCAATCCAATCTGTTGACAGTGTAAGGTTAGACTAGTCACTCACATCCTAAGATTCACTTTCTCTGTCTTTGAAAGGACTGTGTTCAGTCACTGACCATTCATTTGTTAGGTGCCTACTGTGCATGACATTTCTGATCATATCATTCCCCTGCTGCCCTTGGGACAAAATTCAAACTTTCCCGTTTGGTTTTGTCATCTGACTGCAGTCACCTTCCCAAGGTTATTTACTCATCTTTGCTGACCTTCATACACTGCACATTCCAGTCACACTAAGCCAACTGCTTCTATATGTGCTTCATCTCCCCACCTACGTGCCTTTGCATAAACTGTCTCCTACAGCAGGAATGCACTCCTTCCTCATTTCCCTCCTCTTAAACCCTCTTCTCCCCCTCCCCCCCGTTTCCTTTTAAGAAGCTTTCCTGGAGTCAGGAGGAGCTGAGTTCATATCCAACCGCAGACACTTATTAGCTGTGTGACGTGTCACTCCACCCTGTTTGCCTCAGTTTCCTCATCTATAAAATGGCAAACTCCTCCAGTATCTTTGCCAAGAAAACCCCAAACAAGGTCACAAAGAGTCAGACACAACTGAAATGGCTGAGCATTCCTATAAAGTAATAACAAATTAGCATAGACCTACAGCCATCTATTCCTCCATTTTGCAGATGAGAAAACTGAGGCCTAGAGGAGTGATTTTGCCTAAGGTCACACAGTTCTACATTAGGTAGGACCAGGATTTGAACCCAAGTCGTCCAACTACACATCAGCTACTACTCTTTAAGCCAGAGGATCCTCTAAACAGTCCTTTGCCATAACGGACCACAATGCAGTCTTGAGAGGTTTGTTGTGTTAGGTATATGGTATACTACAATTAGCCCCTTCCACTTGGACAGCTCTCATTGTAAGGCTGAGTTCCCCCTAAGCCTAAGTATGTCTCTCTGAATCTTCCCCTTTCCCCAAACCTTGCTCCCAGTTCTAGTCTCCTGGACCAAACAAAAGAAAGTGAATACATCACTTACACGGCTGTCCTTCACCCACCCCTCCATGGGGGCTCCTGAGGCCACACAGTAGAAGTTCTTTGGTTCTCAGCTTTCCTCATCATTGTCACCATCCTAGCCTCCCTCTTCTGGCTTCCCTCGGCTCAGGGGTTCTCAAATATCTCAGGATGCCTTTACATCCTTAAACAATTTTAAAACACAACTAAGATGGGGCAGCTAGGGTGGCGAGGTGGATAGAGCACCGACCCTGAGTTCAAATCCGGCCTCAGATACATAATACTTCCTAGCTGTGTGACTCTGGGCAAGTCACTCATCCCTGACTGTTTCAAAAACAAACAAAAAACTACTGAGGACTTCCAAAGAACTATATATAAATATCTATCAGTATTTACCAAATTAGAAATTAAAATGTCTTGTTACAAAAAGTTTTTTTGACCTCACGGAGAGGTCTTGGGATCCCTAGGCCACACTTGGAGAACCGGTGCCCTGGTTTGTCTAAAACACAGTGCTCACTGGGTATTCCCAAATATGTTTTGAACACCACACTTCTCTCAATACAGGCTAAGAAAGCTTTCATTCCTGGCTGCTGTATCAGATTGCTGATACATCTTAAGCTGTACTGCACACACCCATCCCTCTTCCCACTTTACTCCCCCCATTCATCTTCTATACAGCTGCCTAATTGACATTCCCAAAGCAGAGATCTAATCATGTCCCTGCCCTTCTCAAGAAGGTTCAATGATTCCCAATTGCCTCTAAGATAAAATACAAATTCTATTCAATATTTAAAACCCTTCACAATCTGGAGGCAGTCTATTTCTCCAGGTTTACCACACTAGTATCATAGAGGCCTTGGTGGGTTAGGGGATGTGGAGTCAGTAAAGACCTGAATTCAAATCCTGCCTGAGTTGGGCAAGCCATTGCGCTCTGCACCTCAGTTTATCCATCTGTAAAATGGGGATAATAATAGCACACTTTCATGGGGTTGTGGTGAGGATCAAACACGATCATATAGGCAAAGCTCTGTATAAATGGACGACAATTATTATTTTTTTCTTTTTTGGCTAGTGTGTGCCTGAGGCCAGATTTGAACTCAGGTCCTCCAGACTCCAGGGCAGGTGCTCTACCCACTGTGCCACCTGGCTGCCCCAATGATGGCAATTATTCCCACACAGATCTCAGCCAGACTGCCCCAGAACATGACTTGTGACATCTGATCTCCATGACCCATTCAAAGCTGGCCTGGATCTTCACTTCCTACAGGAAGTACTTGATTCTCCCTGGGAGGTTACTGTATCTATTTTGTGTTAATTTCCCATATACAGGTTGTTTCTCTCCCTCTCCAGTAGAATGAAAAATTCTTGAAGGCACAGACTTCTGTCAACTGAATTGAGCCTGTAGTCCATTAAGACTCCTAGATCTTTTTTCTTTGGGGGGGGGAAGAAAATGTTATCTAATCCTATCTTGTACTTGTGAGCCCAGGTATGAGACTTGACATTTGACCCTCCATCCATTTCATCTTAGTTCAGTCATCTTTCTAGCCAACCCAGTGCTCCTGACTGCTCAGATCTTCCCCTGGCTTACACTTGACAGAAGTCCATCTCTTTGTGGACTCCTGTGGGCCACTAGGGAGCCCTCACCCCACCCTTTGCCTCTTCTTGGGGTGGGCATGTCCCCCCTCCAGAGGCTGGCCTGAAGAAAGCCAAAGAGGCCAGATTTCTGTAAGAAAAGTCAGTATATTTAGGGTTTGCTTTATAAAAGTTACTATAATACAATGGTACACAGTATTGAATTCACAAAAATATGAACAAGTATTTACAGCAAGATGCACCCACAACAGAAACATTTTTTCTTCAAAAAACAGGTGACGTACAGAGGGTGGGGTCTAGATGCACAAAATGGCCCAAAAATTCAAATGCCGTTTTTTAAGGAGAGAGGGGAGAAAACAAACCAAAAAAACAAAACCAAAAAGAAAACCTAGAGGCAGAAATCTTCAAAGCAAAGAATTTGTCAAATCAAATCAAACTAAAAATGACTGCATTTTCTTAGTTATTGCAAACCATCTCCTCCCTCCTCTGATAGAGGGGGCCCTTCCCTGCTCTCATCCTTGGAAACAACTTGGTGAAAGGGGAGTGAGGGATTTGGGGGAGGGGTCCCATCCAAACCACCTTATGCCCTCCCCCCCCCCTTTTCTCCCTTAGTGCTTGCCCCAATCTAGTTTGGGAGAGAAACATCTCTTAGGGGAGTTTGGGGGGGTGGGATCCAGAACTTGCTTAAATAGACCCTTCTCCACACACTGTACATGTCTTCCTTCTGTGAAATAAATATATATTCTTTTTTTTTCTCTCTTGCACATTTAAGTTGGCAGACAAGGCCTGAACCCAAAACAGAAAGGAAAGGCCTACAGCTGGCCTGTGTCTTCCCCTCCATTTTGATGCTGCTAATTTTGTCTAATTGGACACGCACTCACACACACACTCACACACACACATACATCAATCAGGGCACACATACAGAAAGAACCAAAAAAAAATCAAAACCAAAAAACCCAAACCCCCAAACAAAACCAAACCCCAGTTTTTTTGTACAGAATTTACACGGTAAGAAGCTTGACACAAGCTGAGAGAGAGAGATGCTAGCGGCTCCTCGCGTGAGCTGGGGCTTCAGCAGGCGGCTCGGAGGGAAAGCTGTCATCTTGCTAAAAACGAGTCCAAATTATAATAAGTTCCTTTTTTTCATAAAGTATTTACAAACTCACTTTTTTTTCCCCCTGTTGTTGGGTTTATCGGGGCTTTCCCCCCCTAAGTACAAAGAAATCCTCAAAAAAAATTTTTTTCCACGTGTTTCTACAAGAAACAATGTTCCCAAGAGAAGGTCATCCCAGTGGCCTATGTACAGATGAGGCGTTGATTTTTACTCCAAAATGCTTGTGGCTTTTTTTATGTGTCCTTTTAGTCTTTCCTGTTCTATACAGAAAAAGCATTGAAATGAATCCTGAAAGTTTTTGGGGTGGAGGGGATGGGGACACACCTACTGAAAGCTACTGGAGACTTCCATCCAACATTAAAAAATCGTTTTCTTTTTCCTTCCTCACGGGAGAAAATGAAACTGTTTGCATTTTTTTTTCAATATAAATATCTTTTAAGATGGGTTCCTGTCCCTCCCTGGTCCACCCTCGGGATCGTGGATAGAGACAGAGAAGTAGACAGGCTGGTGGTAATTAGGATAGATGGATGGATGGATGGACGGATGGATGGATGGATGGACAGTGAGGCGAGGGAAGCCCAATGGTGTCCCCGGGCCCAGGGATCCCAGTAGAGAGCAGATGAAAGTTTTGTGGTGTGTCTTCTGAAAGAGAAACACCTATCATAAAAGACAACCCGTAATGGTAGAGAAAGGAAGAAGAGCTAGGGAAAAGGGAAGAGGGTAGGAAGCACATTAGCCTTGGGGAGTAGCCCTCCAGACTCTTCTCCCCTGGGTTTTCACCGTATCTCCCAGGGAAGGATCCAGCCTGGACGAGCCAAGTACTGGGGGGGGCTCCCACCCATGGGAGCCCCTGCCCAGTCACCTTCCCTAGGCTCTTGGGGAGTAAACTACACAGCACCTAAAGGGCCCTGCCCTGGCTGCTGGCTATCAGGGGGCAGGCCGGAGGCTCGGGTGAGGGCCTGGTTTCCTTTGCAAGGTCCCCTTCCTCACCCTGACCACTCTGTCTCACCCCCTTCTTGCTGGCATCTGAATGAGAAAGTAAACATTTTGGAGATCCAGGCATGCCCCCTGCTAGCTCCCAGGGGTGGCCATGGGGTGGGAGGTGCAGGCAAGGAACACGGTCTGAGAAGGCAAACCTCAAGAAGCCAGGCTCCCCCCACACCCAGTCCTGCCCCACTTCTCCACATATACATAGCACCTGCCTGGCTCCCCAGCACCAGGGAAGGAAGACAGATCAAGAAAAAAAGAGAGAGTAAAAGCCAAGCAGACCAGCCCCCCTCCCCAACCCCACATGAATAGCTGCAGGTCCCCAGCTCAGACCTAGTGAGGAAGGGGAAGAGTGAATGAGCACTGAAGGCCATCCCAACAGATGGAGGAGCTGGGGGGAAGGGAGGGACAAGAGAAAAGGAAAGACATTGGGGTGGGGAGAGGGGGCAGGAGATTAACCACTGGCTTTCAGTATTTCCCTGCTCCCCAAGACTGGCACAGAAAACATCCAAGGTCCCGAGAAGCAAGGGTTGCAAGGTCTCACTTGGCCACGGAGACTTCATCCTAACCAATCCTTGGGTGACACCCACAGGAACAGTGTTACAGAGAACAGAGGGCCTTGCCCCACTCCCTGCTCCCTCCTCTGGCATCCCAAGGTCAACGTCAGGGCCGAAGGGCAGGGTCTTAGAGAACTGGACGTTGGTGGGGGTGGGGAGAGGAGGGCTTCCAAATCATACTGAGGGCAGGGAGCCAAAAGCCATTGTCTTGGGACCCAAGATCCCCGTTCTTCCTCCCCCAGACTACGCACCCCGATCTCTTCCAAAAAGCGTAATATTTCTCCCTCCATCTCTGGCTCCACATTTGAATGGTGAAAAATGTCTTTTTGAGGAGGAGGGAAAAAAATGTAGCAGCATTTGTGGGAGAGGGGATATGTTTGTGTGACTTTTAAAAAATTAATGATAATTAAAAATTAGAGGGAGGGAGCATCTTTCCCCACAAGTAGGAGGAGGAGGAGGAGGAAGGGAGGAGGTAGAGAGGATTCAGGAGGGTGGGTAGTGTTGGGTGGCCCTGAGCTGGGCCTGGGGAGACGGACAGCACCTGAGGGTGGGCTGGGGAGAGCTGGGCTCGTAGGAGCCTGTGCCCAAAGCAACTGGCTGGACTGGGCTGGACTGGGGTGGGGCTTTCTTTTTTCCCTTTCTTTTTCTTTTTTTGGCAAAGCATGCCCAGCTCCCTGGCCTCCTAGTTTAAAGTCCCCCGGCAGTTTTCAGAGCCACACAGACAGGGGATCTTGACATCCTCGATGGGGAATTTATAATCGTAGGTGATTTCTTCATTAACGTTGATATGTTGTTTGGAGTAGATGACAATCTTCTTCTGGGATTCCACGGTGATGACCTTGGCATAGCAGTTTGGCTGTGGAAGGTGAAGAGGCCCAGTGAGGCCCCTCTGCACAGCAGTGGAGGGGACCCCTGGAAGGGACCTCAGGGCCACCCGAGTCCAACCCACTCATTTTACCAATGAGGAAACTGAGGCGCAGAAATGGTGAGGGGGTGCTTAGAGTCACCCAAGTACTGTCAGGGGGAGATTTGAACATGAGGTCTCTAGATGCTCTTTTCAATACCCTATTATGCTCAGAGCTTATAGGCTGGGTTGGCATTGCAGACTCTTACCTAAAATTGGGTCTGGGAGTAATGGATGACTTAGGCTGCTTGAGGGAACCCCAAGGTCCTCCCTCATCTGCTAGAGAGGGAGCCCACCCCTCCTAACTCCCAGCATCTGGGGGGTGGGGGTGGTATATCCTTTGGCAGGATACATGGCTGGGTAGGGTGGGGTGGGATGACCTCTGACCCCAGCCACTTACATTACAGCTGTGGTTGATGAACCTGGCAAAGTTGCCACACTTTGTCGCATCGATGATTGTGTCGTGGTCAACCCGAAACATGTAGCTGCTCCCAATGCCCTCGTCCTCATAGCGTTTCTCCCGCATGTCTGCGATGACCTGGTAGGGAGGGGGGTGGAGAGGAGGGAAGGGAAGTAGAGTCCACAGCCTCGATTTCCCTTCCTGTCCTACGGGGAAGTAGAGGCAGCCAGCCCCCTAGCACCGACACTAACGTCCACTCATCCTCACTGAGAGGTGGCCCCCGGCTGCCCCGTCGGGTCCTACCTGCCGGATGTTCTGCCCCACGTATTCAATGACCATTTCATCGGCTGCAATGGGCTCCATAGCAAAAAGACCCCAATCATGGATGTGACTCTTGCAGAATTTCAGCTTTTTCTTCCGGAACTGGACAGAAGAGCAGAAGCAGGGTCATTTAGGATAATGAGAAAGTAAGGTCCTCAAGGGAAAGTACAATTTCACGTCTGTCTTTGCACTCCCCAACATCCAGGATGGCGTCTGGTATATAGCAGGTGCTTAATTAATGCTAGCTGACTGACTGCTTGGTATCTATCCAGACAGTAAAAGCTCACTGAATTGAATATCAGGAGTTAAGAGTTGGTAGGGAACTGAGGGATCACTGCACCCAACACCCTCACTTTTCAAATAGGGAAACTGAGGCCCAGAGATTGTTTATTGAACACAGCAACAACAGCTCACATCTATACAGTGTTTCTGGTGTAGCTGCCAAGAGAAGGTTGTAGTTGGTGTTTTACTGTGGTGGACCTGGGGTTTGAAAGTCAGAGCTCAAATCCAGCATCGAGACACTTACAAGATATGCTCTGCATGTAATCTGTGGGCAACTCACTTCATCTCACCTGTAAAATGGGGATAATCAGAGTACCTACCTCAGATGGTGGTTGGCAGGTTAAAATAAGACCTTTTATAAAGTTCTTTGAAAATCTTGAAATGTTGGTGCTGGGAAGGTACCCTCTGAGGGAAGGGGATCTGAGTCTGATCATCCCCATTTTACAGATAGGAAAGCTTGAGTTCAGAGCTGACCAGTCTGGAGCTAGGATTTCTGAACTCAAATCCCTCATTCTTCTTGCTAGGGCGTGAAGTTTCTTCTATGTCAGTGATTATATTATTGTTATTCAGTAGCTCAGTTGTATCTGACTCTTTGTGACCCAGCGGACTATAGCACACCAAGGTTGTCTATGGGGTTTGCTCGGCAGAGATCCCGGAGTGGTTTGCCTTTTCTGTCTCCAGCTCATTTGACAGATGAGCAAACTAAGGCACACAGGATGAAGTGACTTGCCCGGGCTCACACAGCTAGCGTCTAAGGCCACATTTGAACTCAGGTCTTCCTGGCACTAGACTTTGCGCTCTATCCAGTGAGCAAGCTAGCTGCCTCCAGTGCTTATATGGGGCCGTGAAACTTACAACGGGAGAGAACTGGGGACCGGCTAAGTGCGACCACTCCCTGCGACTGAGATACAGGAGAGTTCCACCCAAGTTCACACAAGGGAAAAGGGCAGAGTGAGGCTTAAACCGCCATCCTTTGACTCCAACTCTGGGGGTCTCTCCATTCTATTAGACCATACAAGACTAAGGCCACGGTTAGAGAAGCCTGGTTCCAATCTGCTCTCTACAACTTCGTCTGCTACTTCACATAAGAAAGAGGCTCAGCCCCTCGACTCCCACCCCCCAGGGCCACCAGGAAGGGGTCAGAGGGCTCAGGTAGCCACAGCTTGCCTTTACACGGCTCCCCATCTTCATTTTTGTAATCATCTTGTCTCAACCGCAGGCACAGACGGACCCTTGGACCAGATACCCAGATTCACTGGCCATGGGCAGATAAGGGATCAGACCATGTTAGAGACACCTGAAAGCATTCCACAGCTGGCTCCCTCCACAACATCCTACCTCCGGGCCTTTGCCCAGGCTGTGCTCCACACCTGGAATGCCCTCTCTCCCCATTGCTGCCTCTTAGGATCCCTGGTCTCCTTCAAAGCACAACTCACACCCACCTCCTACCCAAGGCCTTTTCGGATTCCTCTGCCCTAGTTTTCTCCCTTCTGAAATTACTTTGTATATAATTTGCACAGACTTACTTGCTTATAGGTTATATTCCCTAACAGACTACTTTGTAGAGACACTGTATCTCCTTGTCTGCATGTCACATTCCGTCACCCCCAACAACTCCTTGAGGTCTGGGCCCATTTCATTCTTGTCTTTGAATCCCCAACGCCTGGCACATAGTAGGTGCTTAATAGTTGAACTGAATTCATATTGTGCCAGGACAACCACGGATTCTGCTCTCCAGAGCTCATGCTGGGCATGTGGAGGACTATGTTAATGATATTATAATGAGGAGAAGGGGCAGCTGGGCGGCCCAGGGGATAGAGCCCCAGACCTGGAGTCAGGCAGATTTCTCTTCCCAAGTTCAAATCTGACCTCAGACACTTACTGGCTGTGTGACCCTGGGCAAGTCACTTCCCCCCGTGTACCTCAGTTTCCTCATCTGCAAGATGAACTGGAGAAGGAAATGGCAAATCACTCCAGTATCTCTGCTAAGAAAACCCCGGATGGGGTCATGGAGAGTCAGACACGGCTGAATAACAACAAATAAAGATAAAACAATGGACAGAGGCAGGTCATCCCGGACCATTGTTTGAGTGGTATTCTGGGAGAGAAAAGCACCGCTCACATGCGCTTTTATTGAACATGAAATTTCTGAGAAAAGGTGTCAGGGCCTAGGACCAGTGATCTCACTGTTACAGGGATTTTCTCCACAATTTATCATCTTAAGAAAGTTGCCTTAGAGCCCTACGGTTAAATAACCCTTCAGGGCCACACAACCCGTAAGAGACAGCAGGACTTTTATCCAGGTTTTCTGGCCCGGAGGCCTACCACACTACAGTGCTTCTCTTCTGAGAGAAAAGGGCATTTTAGTTAAGCGATGTGCAGCCAGAACCACATGTGGGTTGGTAAGGTACTTGGCTAAATCTAGGTTTCTTCTATAACCCTGAAGCCGAGACACAACGTGGGGTATTTATATGATCCCAAATATAAAGCTGGAAGTGACCTCTGAGGTCATCTAGTCTATCCCTCTGCCCTCATTCTGTAGACAAGAGAACTGAGGCCTAACTAGAGAGAGTGACTTACCAAGGTCACAAAGCTGGGACCGGAACCCAGCTCCCTCGTGCTCAGACTGCCGGGAGTCGATAGAAGGGTGGGTTTGGAAGGAATCTAGACTTGGCCAACGCCTAAAATCCCTACAGTAAAGACGTGCCTCATGCAGGTAACATGAGCAGCAAGGCTATGTTCCAGTGGCAAAGAGGGGGAGATCACCATCTGCCTTTGAAGGGTTAATCCCTGTCCTTGGGAAGAGGAGAGAGCACTCCTGGGAGTATGTAAGGAGAAATTCCAAAGTTTATCTGATAATATTGTAGCTTGTGTGATTGTAAGAGGGGAAAAGTCCTTCGGGTAGCTCAGAGTGGGAGGGGGGGAGGGCTGAGGGTGTCAACGAAAATTACCAAGAGGGAAGACCCGAGAGCTGAAAGTGAGAATCTGGGTTAGAACAGAAGCTGATTGGTTAACAAAAGCATTGGGATGCCGGCGGACATGGGAAGGGACTGCTTAAGGAGGCAGAGGCAAAGGCAAGGCTTGGGAAACATTGTGGCCCCAGCCACTGGTGGAAAGCAACTGTTGCAGAGTGGATGCCGAGCATCATGGGAAGGCTGTCAAGTAGCAACAGCTCGCTTTGGTTTCTGACAATGAGATGGTTATACCAACGTGACAAAGGTCATGTCCTATTGACACAGAGTCTGGGCTGAGCCCAGGGGAGCAGGAGAGACAGGCTGGGGGCCCAGAGGAGCCTCTAAGGTCAGTGCCTCGCCTGGGGCCCTGAAGAGACAGGATGCTGGCGGATGCTAGTGCCAAGCAGCCCCTAGGCCGAGATTCTCACCCTGAAGCTCCGTGGTTGGATTTCAGGGGCTCTGTGAATTGGGAGGGAGGAAAAGGACTTTTGGATTCTTTGGTACTCCTCTGTCTTTTATTTTATGCATTTAAAAACATGACACTGAGACGGTATCCATAGGTTTTACCAGAATCACTGCCAAAGGGGGCTGGGATGCCAAAAAAAGGTTAAGAACTCCTGACCTAGACAAGGTTCTCAGAACACCACTGAGGGGACACAAGAAGGGAAACAGAGGAGGACCCTTCCTGTGCAGTAGAGGATTAGGGAACCCCTCCCCTCCTGCAAGGGGACAGCTGAAGGATAGAAAGGGCAAAGCAGAGTTGAAAGATGTTCAAAGTCCAGGTGGAAAAGCCTATACAGTTCAGCTACCCAAAAAACTGGCTGCCTTGACGGAGGGTGGGGTGAGTTCCTCATTACTGAAGGTCTTCAAGCCAAAGTCAGATAACCACTTGTTCAGGTATGGGTTAGACCAGCTGATCTTTAATATGGAAATCTGGTGAGACCAAGATTGCCAGAGGGCTCACTCCCATACATTTTCCTTCTGGACATGGGGCATGGTTTTGGGCAGCAGCTGGCCCAGGCTAAAGATGGATCACAACTTGGGAAGCTATGGCTTATATTTGGGTTGGCTGAGCCAAGCGTCCTATCTCAAGAATGAGTTAAGAGCGCAGACAAGAAACCTTGGATCAGAGACAAGATTTGGTGGACAATCAGCGAGAGAGGGATGTCCCCCAGAGCCACAGGAATGCCAAGCTGGAGGCAGACCAGTCAGGATAACCCCAAGATGGAAGGCACCTTGGTTACCAGGACAACAGGAGTCTGCCCCCAGTACTTAGACTGGGCATGTGCAAGACTCAGTTGGGGTATGCCGATGAAAGATGAACGAGGACAAACAACAGAGACCGGCAGCCTAGGAGAAGTGATACCGATGATGCCCCCAGGGGAGGGGAGGACAGAGGCAGGGGCCTTTTAAAAATATAACTGGCTACTTCTGGGAGAAGGGGGGGATTTTAATTAAGTTGTGTTGTGCCAGCTTGTCCCCCACAGCTGCTGAGGGCCATGTTCCCAAGTTCCTAGACCAGGGGTGGGGACCTGTGGCCATCTAGGTCCTCAAGTGCGGCCCTCTGACAGAATCCAACTTTGGACGGCCACATGTAGAGTTTGGATTCTGTCAAAGGGTTGCACTTGAGGACCCAGATGGCCACATGTGGCCTCGAGGCCACAGATGCCCCTCCTCATCTATACTTTACTGTTGACCTTGAAGCCAGGATGGAGGGAGGGCCCTAGAACAATTCAGAGCTATGATGTCTTCATCTAGAACATGGAGGTTTTACCTCCCACTTGGGACAGTCTGTGTTAATATGTGTTCTAAGATCCCTTTCAGCTCTGACAATTTTATATTCTAAGTTCTTCTCCAGCTCTGACATTCTATGATCTAAACTCTCTTCCAACATAGTCTACATTCTGAATTCTCCCCTGGCCCTGACATTCCACATTCTAAGTTCTCCCCTAGCTGACAACCCATGTTCTAAGTTCTTCCAGCTCTGATAGTCCACGTTCTAAGTTGTCTTCCAGCTGACAGTCTATGTTCTAAGTTCTCTTCCAGCTGTGACAGTTTATGTTCTCCCCTAGCTGACAATCCATGTTCTAAGTTCTCTTCCAGTTCTGATACTCCATGTTCTAAGTTCTCTTCCAGTTCTGACATTCCACATTCTAAGTTCTTTTCCAGCTCTGATAGTCTCTGTATAGACTAAGTTCTCTTCAAGTTCTGATATTCCATGTTCTAAGTTCTTCTCCAGCTCTGACATTCTAAGATCTAAACTCTCTTCCAACATACAGTCTACATTCTGAATTCTCCCTCAGCCCTGACATTCCACATTCTAAGTTCTCCCCTAGCTGACAGCCCATGTTCTAAGTTCTCTTCCAGTTCTGACAGTCTATAAGTTTTTTATCAGCTCTGACATTCTAAGTTCTCCCCCAGTTCTGACAATCCATGTTCTAAGTTCTCTCCCAGCTCTAACATTCCGTGCTTTAAGTTCTTCATCAGCTCTGACATTCCACATACTAAGTTGTCTTCCAGCTTTGATAGTCTATGTTCCAAGGTCCCTTCCAGCTCTGACAATATGTATTCTAAGGGCCCTCCCAATGCTGACACTCCATGTTCTAAGATCTCTTTTGGTTCTGACATTTCCATGTTCTAAGTTCTCCTCCAGCTCTGACATTCCACATTCTAAACTCTCTTCCAGCTCTGACAGTCTATGTTCTAAGTTCTCTTCCAGCTCTGCCATTCCATATTCTAAGTTCTCCACCAGCTCTGACATTCTGTGTGTCCCAGCCTTTCTTCTTTGCACAATGGGGATGAGGACCCCCAGGAGCTTCCTAAGTGAGGAGAGGAAAATGAAGCTGCCCCAATGGGAGAGGGTGACAGAGGTTCCGGTGCCTCTACCTTTAACTGGTTGAACTTGAGCAGGTCGCTGTCACAACTTCCCGTGAAGGAGGAGAGAAGGCGCCGTTGCTCTGAGCGGCGCTCTGAGCCTGCCCGGGTGGATGCATGTGGCTGGGCAGGGATGCTCATGCCCTGGAGTGGGGGAGAGAGAGAAGAAACAAATCATGATGCACACGCTAGAAACCCTGCAAGGCATGCCAGAAACAAACACCGATGAGCATTAACAACGATGAGCGTGTTGGATGAGCTGAAGGGCCTGCTAAAACCCTGAAGGGCCTGCTGCAGGAGTGGGGAGGCAGAAGGCTCCTGTGCCCATGAAGCAGTGGGGCTGAGAGGGGATGGGGGCAACAGAACTACAAACAGGCAGGGCCAGCGTGGCAGAGCCAGCTTACCTGGGTGTCTGCCGGGGGCTCCTCGGCAAAGGCGCGGCTGTTGTTGAGGTATTTGAGTTTGTCTTTCTTGTCGATCTTGTAATAACCCTCACTGCGGGCACAGCCGGTCACATGCTCCCGAATGCCGTCCTCTCGCTTTTTTTTCTTGGGAGTAGAGAAGCTGGTGGGTGGGGCAGGTCAAGGACCAGACACGGGAACACAAGAGGGACACCTGTACACCCTAAAGGACACCTCCCACATACACCTGTCCCTAGCACCAAATACTCCACAGTCCTACCTGGATCTACCGCCTCATTTGGGAGGGTCACAGATAGGTCGCTGGGCTCGGAGTCAGGAAAATCTGAATGAAGTCCAGGCCGAGACACTTACTAGCAGTGTAATCCTGGGCAAGTCACTTACCCGCTGCCTGCCTCAGTTTCTTCAACTGTAAAGTGGGGGTGATAAGAGCACCTACCCTCTCAGAGAGTTCCTGGGAAGACCAAAATAGATGCTTCGCTAATCTAAAAAGTGCTATGTGATTGCCGCACGCTGTCATTACTTGGAGGCTGCTGGAACCCCTGGGGTCATCTAGTCCAATCTGTCATTCAGGAATGGGAAGCTGAGGTGCACAAGGAGACCAAGTGCTCTGGGCTCACAGATGCAGCGCCAGAAAGGCAGCTAGAAGTCCCCTCACTTTACAGACGAGGAGCCCTGAGATTCCAAAAGCAACTTGCCCAGTAAAAGCTTGTAAGCGGCTTGGCAGTGCTTGAAACCTACATTCCCTGACTGCACTAAAAGTTCCTGGAGTCCTGTGGGCTGTGATTTCCTCGGGACTGTCCCCAGCCTTACTCTGTAGCCCCAGTGCCCGGCCACGGGGCGCACCCGACTGCACAGACCAGCAGACGCTGCCTGGGTGACCCCACGGCAGGGGAGGATATAAGGATGGTAGACCCAGAGGGTGTCATTCAGCCAGTCCATGCCACTGTCCTGCTGGAGGAGCCGGTCGTAGGTGATGCACAGGAAACGGATGTCCTCCTCATCGATGCCGCCGTTCCAGATGTCATACAGGATGGTCATCTCCTCAAACTCCGAGCGGGGCCGGAAGAGGGGCCGCTGGGGTGACGAGAAGTCGGGGGAGGGTGGAGGCAGGGGGGGCACCACCATGTCCTCGTGCCGCTTCTTGGGAGGCCGGCGCCAAGGCAATTTGGGCTTGCTGAAGCCGCCTCCGTCGACGTTCTCCACCTCCTCCTCTGGCCCGAGGGTGGGGGGAGGCGGCTGCTCCAGCCACTGATTCTCAAGCTCTTTGAAAGGGAGCTTGGCGGCCTCGTCGGGCGGGGGCCGGGGTGGTGGTGGGGGCGGGAGCGGGGGAGGAAGGCCCCCGTCGTTCCTAAAGTCCAGCGTCACGACGCGGGGGTCTGGCGCCCCATGGAAGGAGGCAGCGGCAGGGGGCTGCCCTGCCAGCAGCAGCAGCTTGGGGCCCGCTGCCTCCGGATGCAAGGTGGTGAGCCTTCCCGGAGGCACGTCCAGGGTGAGCACAGCAGGGGGCGAGCGCTTGGGCCTCCCGGGCTTCCTCTTAGTGGGAGGAGGGCAGGGGCTCGGTAGGGAAGGGGCCAGAGGCAGAGCCAGGGGCAAGGTCAAGGGCAGAGGTAGCAAGGTGGAAGAGCGGGGTAGCAACGGACCTGGAGGGAGGGGCAGAGGGACTGGCAGGGGGACCGGGACTGGGAGGGGCACCGGGAGAGAGACGGGCAGGGGGAAACTGGTTTCCAGGGGGCTGGAAGAAGCTGGAGCACCAGGCCCTGGCCGATCATCCCCAGGGAGCTTCTTGCCGGGTGGGAGGGAGCAGACAGACAGTGGAAGGGGCCCCACGGGCTCCGGAAAAGTGGGTGTGAAGCTAAAGTCTCGCCCAGGCGTCCGAGGGATGCCACCACCACTGAGCCCCGGAGACTGCGATGGGTAGGAGAAGGGGCTGCTGGGAACCTGGGGGGAGCTGAGGGCCAGGCTGCTGGCAGTGAGGGGAGTGTCACTGCCCGGCGTGGCTGGCACAGTCTCCGTGCTCTGGGACTTGGCCAGAGGGTCCCGGCCTGGTGTCCGGGGGGGTGGTTCTTCATGTAGGGGCTCTTCCAGGAGAGGCAGTGGCTGGGGGGGCCTGACAGGGAACAGAGGCTGAAGCCGAAGGGACTCTGGCTCCACGGGAAGGACCACCTTGGGGCCTAGGGTGTGGGGCCGGCCCTCTGCCTCAGCCTCCCGAAGGAAGCTGCCCTGCTGAGGTGCGCTGTCTGTGGGGAGGACAGGTGGGCTGGGCAATCGCTGTAGCTGCCGCAAAGACGTCTCCTTGGGGATCTCTGCAGGCCCCAGCTCCGTCTCTAACTCTTCTCCTACAAGGAAGAGGATAGTAGAAGAGTATGGTGGGAGAGAGAAAGACACAGATAAGAGAGAGAGAAAACGAGGGGAGAGAGGGAGGGAGAAAGAGAGATGGAGGAAGGGTGAGAGGGAAGGGGGAGCGAGGGTAGGAGAGAACAGAAGGGAGGGAGTGAGGAGGAGGGAGAGAGGGGAAGAGAGAGGGAGAGACAGAGAGAGAAAGAGGAAGGGAGGGAAGGAGAGGAAGAGAGGGAGGGAGAGATAGAGATGAGAGCTCACATTTCAATAGTATTTTGATGTCTCTAAAGTGATTTCTTCAGAACATCTTTGTGGGGTAGGGAATAAATATTACTATCTCCATTTCACTGATGAAGAAACAGACTCAGATTAAGTGAAGTGAAGATTAAACCCTGAGTCGGTGCTGATGCTGGGATCTGACCACAGGTTCCCCTCTTGCACACATCAGATGGTCTCTCAGGGCGAAGGTCAGAGTCAGGAACATGGGGGCTGTCATTAGTCTGGGGACAGGGGTACCAGGAGAATATGGCGAGGGGAGTGACCACCTCAGGGGCCTAGGAAGGGGAGAGCCATGGCAGACGGCTCCGGTGTTTACCTGAAGCATCCACAGGTGACGGGGTCAGGTGCTGCAGTGGCTCTGGGGGCCCCGCTGAAGTGGGGAGCTCGGCCAACATCTCTCCCACCTGCTTGAGGCCTGGCAGCTCCGGGGCATCCCCAACTCCCGCCGTCTCCTCCGCCCCCAAGTTGGGTAAGTCTGGCTCATCCACCACCGGCGTCAGCTCCAGGATGGTCACCACCTCTTCATCGTCCTCCATGAGTGCTCCGGCCTCCATGGCTGCTTCCCCAGCTCCCAGCAGGTCTTGGCTTTCCCCGGCTGTCGCCTCCGCCACTATTTCCTCTGACATGGCCTTCTCCTCCTCTTCCTCCTCCTCCTCTTCCTCCTCCTCGGACTCTGAACTGGACTCATAATCTGAAGAGTCCTCACTTTCTTCGGAGGACACGGCCTCTGCCTTGGAGGAGGGAACGCTTCCAACATCCTCTGGGAGGGCAGAAGCAGGGCCGTGTGAGTGGGGGGTGGGGAGGGGAGAGCAGGACGGGGCAAGACAGACACGGCACTAACATGTCCATCCCCTTTGACCCAGAGATCTCACCAGAGACCCCATAACCCGAGAGATCAAAAACCCAACAAAAGGTCCCACGTGCATCAAAATAGCCATTGCAGCCCTTTTTTTCTGGTAGTAAAGAAGGAATAGAAGACCAGTAGATAGATGCCCATCAATTCAGGGGCTGGCTGAACAAGCTGGGGGGTGTGATCGCAATGAACGTGACCCCGCTGTAACACCGCACTGGTCAGTTACATTTTCTCTCCCAACTAGAGTGGAAGCTCCTTGAGGGCAGGGATTGTTTTTAATTGATCTTTGTATCCCCAGATCTTAGCTCATGGTAAGTGCCAAGAGATGGCGTCAATCAGCCAGACTGCCTTTTCTTTTCATTATTTTAGTTGTTGTTACTACAGAAGGTGAGAATGATTAAGAAGAAAAGATACCCGGAGAGAAAGGGGACACGGAGCAGACCTGGCATTTCGTTTTAACAGGAAACTCCTGGAGGTGGAGGACACTCCTTTTTGCCAATGCAAACTGGTACCTTCTTTTGAGGTCATTTTTTTTTTGGCCGAGGCAATCTGGGTTAATGACTTGCCCAGATATCACACAGCTAGTGTGAAGTATTTGGTCTGAAACCGAATTTGAACTCAGGTCCTTCTGACTCAAGGGCCAGCGCTGAATCCACTGTGCCACCTAGTTGCTCCAGATAGGCACCTTCTTTTTATGTCATTTTCTTTTTAGGTGAGGCAATTGGGGTTAAGTGACTTGCCCAGGGTCACACAGCTAGTGTCAAGTGTCTGATCTGAGACTGGATTTGAACTCAGGTCCTTCTGACTCCAGGGCCGGTGTTCTATCCACTGCGCCACCTAGCTGCCCCAGGTTGGCACCTTCTTAACAACTTATATTTTGAGAGAACTGCCTAGGACATGCAGAGTTAAAGTAGCTTGAACAAGGTCACACAGACACCATGTATATATCAGAGGCAGGGCTTCAAACCAGGTTTTCCTGGCTCTAAGGCTGATTCCACACCGCCTCCCCTCTAAATAAAATTGAGTAATTTTTTTTTAAATGACAGACACCAGAGACTTGACGGGCACAGCTAGGCTGATGCTGAGCCTGGTCAAGGGCACGGCCACTGTGGTGGCACAGAGGCCCCAGCTGTTTTCCCTGTTTCGACCTGCCTGGGAAAGACAGACACTCACCTCCGTCAGAGTCCAGCTCCTCCTCTTTCTCACTAATCTCCACCTCAGCCATTTCTTCTTCATCTTCTTCCTCATCCTCTTCCTCCTCATCCTCTTCTTCCTCATCGACATCCTCGTCGTCCTCTTCCTCCTGAGGTGGGGTAGGGGGAGAAGAAAGCATGGAATGGGGTCAGGATCTAGCTGTGTCCTGATCTCTCGGATGAACCAGTCACACATCTCCAACTCTCTCTTGGCCATTTCAACCTGGACGTCACATGGGCATCTCAAATTCAAAACAGAGGGGGCAGCTAGGTGGCACAGTGGATAGAGCACCTGCCCTGGACTCAGGAGGACCCGAGTTCAAATCTGGCCTCAGACACATAACACTTACTAGCTGTGTGACCCTGGGCAAGTACTTAACCCCATTGCCTAGCGTCCCCCCCACCAAAATTCAAAACAGAAATCATCACCTTTTCCCCTAAACCTTGCTCCCTTTTCAACTGTTTCAAAACCCTCCATTCTTTCAAATTTCTTCATTACTGTAGAGGGCACCACCATCTTCCCCACCAGCCTAGCAGGCATCCTCCCATCTACCCTCACTCATGCCAGATTATGCCATCTCTAGCATTGGGCCACTTCTCTCTACTCACTCTGGCCCAGGCCCTCATCCCCTCATGGCTCTTGCCTTCCGGTTGGGATCCCTGTCTCAGGTTTTCCTCCTGCTCCAGTCCATCTTCTGCTCAGCCACCAATGTCGCCTTCCTAAAGGTTAGATCTGACTGGGGAACCCCTGCTCGAGAAGCCCCAGGGCCTTCCCTAATACTGCGAGGACCAAATAGGAAGGTGTCTACAGCCCTGGCCCTTTCTACCTTGCTGGCCTTCTGATTATCTGACTCGCTCTCTGCCAACTTTAAGATAATAATAGCTAACATTTTATGTAGTGCTTACTGGGAGATAGATGCCATTATCCCCATTTTACAGATGAGGTGACTGAGGCAAACAGAGGTTCAGTGACTTGTTCAGGTGACAGCTAGTAAGTATCTGAGGATGGATTTGAACTCAGGTCTTCCAAGCCCAGCACTTTATCTATTGCTTACCTAGCTGTCTCAAGCCCTAGCTCCATGGGCCTATTTGGAATGCCAGACAAGGAATCTGTACCTTCGCTCCACCTGGACAGCGAGGGGGAGGCAGAGGCGGCTTCCACCTTCCGCAAAGACCTGGCCCGGTCCCCCTCTCATCCTGACACTAGTGCCTTCTCTTCTTTGTAGAGATGGCTTATGTGCCCCCGTCCCCCATTATAGAGTACGTCCTTGAGAGCAGGAAGCGAATCTGCTTTTGCCCCTTTCTGTCGCCCAGCACAGGGCACAGGGCCTGGCACAGACTTGGCCCTCAAAGGGAGTGGGCTGACGGAGCCCTAGGAGCACCCAGCTCCCCTCTGGACTGACCCCACACCTTGTCAGATGAGGTCTTGGCCAGCCTGTCCTCCTCATCCTCCTCCTTCTCCGAGGATGACGATGGCGACGAGGACAGTGAAGATGAGGACGATGAGGATGAGGACGACGAAGACGAGGATGATGAAGACGACTCCTCCTTGTCGTCCTCCTCCTCCCCCTCGCTGTCCAGCTCCAGGGGCCGGGCCGGCCGCCTCCGGATCCCAACACCTTCCGGGTCCTTCTTGGAGAGGTCTGAGGGGATGTCTGACATGTCCCTGTCCCGTTCTGACTCTGAGGGAAGGCGAGTGAAGGAAGGACGGGCGTGAGAGAAAGGCTTTGCTTGGGGAGGAAAGAAGGGCCGATGCTCCTCAGGGGAAAACAACCCACCTTCATCTTCCTCATCTACAGAGGTGGAGGGCCGCAATCTCTTCTGGTCTCCAGTGGAGGCTGGGTCGGGCGGCTCCTTCCTCTTTACCTGCACATAAAAGTGCCGATGGGTACGGGGTGTTGGGGAATGCTGGAGCGAGGGGGAACACAACTGTGTCTGCCCTGCCAGCATCTGTGAAGTATCCTCGGACTCAGAGTGGACCATGGAGCTCTGAGATGTGGACGGAGAGGGCCGGGGGCCTCTCTCTGGAGGAGTCGGACCCCCTGCCCTGGCCTCCCTGCCCAGGCCCGGGGGCGGCAGGTCTTACCTTGAACGAGGGCAGCCTGATGGCCCCCCGGAGGCCGATGCCCAGCCCCATGCCCTCGTAGCCCAGCCCTTCGCCCTTGCTCCAATTCTCCAGCAGGCAGGACGTGAGGCGGTCTTTGGGCTTTGGCCTCTCCTCATCCTTATGCTCGCCTGATTTCACAGGGGTCAGTGATGCCTATGGGGCAGAGAGACCAGAGAGTGAGAGCTGCAGACTCAGGGGAGTAGCCGGGGGAAAGCCCTGGCTCTGGAATCACAGGGTCTGGGGTCAAATGTTCCCTGGGACACTTACTACCTGCTGTGTGACCTTGGATAATTCACTTCCCTTCTCTGGGGCCATCTGCAAAATGAAAGAGGGTTGGACTGGAAGACTTTGAGGTCCCTGCCAGGTCAACAGCTATGGGTTTGATTACAACATTGCTCAACCCCTCTGGGCCTCGGTGTCCTTGTCTGTAACATCGGGGTCAGATGAGCAGACCTCTGAGGCTCCTTCCTCATCCTGTCAGCTCATGAGCTCTCTGCCCCTGCCCTTCCGGGGCAAGAGGGGGCCCAGGGGCAGATGGAAGTGACCCCCTCGTAGGGAGCTGGTCTCAGAGTCGCCCCAACATCAGGGCTTACGAACCCATGGCCTTTGCCACGGGTGACTGACACCTCCCCTCCTCCCCGGTCCCAACCTTGGAATCAGGAGGACCTGAGTTCAAATCTACCCTCAGACACTTCCTAGCTGTGTAACCCTGGGCAAGTCACTTAACCCTGACTGCTTCCTCCCCCAAAATAGTAATAGTTATCATTATTATTGTTATAACAACTTATAAACTTTCAGGTCTACAAAGCTCTTCTGTGCTATCTCATCTGGTCGCCAGAACGATTCGGTGAGGTAGCTGCTCTTATTAATGCTATTTTACAGATAAGGAAGCCAAGGATCAGTGACTTACTTGCCCAGGACCACAGACTAGTAGGTGGCTGGGGCAGGATCCGAACTTGGGTCTTCCTGGGCCCAAGTCCAAATGGCCATTTACTATGCCACCTAGCTCGCCATCTGGCCCCTCCCTTTCAGAACTCGGCCTAGGCTGCCCTCGACCATCGCTTACTGACTACTTGTTCAATAGAATATAGGCACTTTGAAGGCAAGGACTATCTAACTGTTTTTCCCTTCATACACCAGCACCCAGCACAGTGCTTGGTATACAGCAGGGATTTAAAAAGTGTTGGCTAAATCCAACTTAATGCTCAGAAACGCAGCCTTGGGGCAAGGCTCTATACTAGGTGCCCTGACTATAGCTCCCAATTTTACCACTTATTGGCCCGTGATCTCTCAGAGGCTCCATTTTCTCCTCTCTAAAATGGGGGTAAACACCACCTGTCCCGCCCTGCTCACAGGCCCACGGCAAGAAGCAGTGAGCCAAAGAGCAGACGGCGACGGTCGATCTCAGTCTCCTTTTCCCATCTCCCGTGTCTCTTCCCACTCCTACCCTGTGCCCTGGCAGCCCGCCACGCCCCCTCACCTTGGCCATCCGCTCCTTCTTGTCCCACCATTCATCAAAGGCCCGGAAGGCTACGACCTCCACCATCTTACGGTTCAGATCCCGTTTCATGATGGCCTTCAGCTCCTTGACAATCACTAACAGCACACCATCTACAGTGGCCTTGTGTGGGTCTTCCTTCTTGGGCATGTACCCCGGCGGGGGCACCGATGGGTCAAACTTTGGCAGCGGGGGCCACTGCTGGCCCCGGCCTACTGCGGCACTCATGGAGAAGGGCCGGTAGGGGGGCAGATTCACAAACTGCATGCCACTACTCATGAATGGCGGGTATTGGCACATGCCCTGACCCTGCATCATTCGGCTAAGCATCTGCGTCTGCATCTGGAAGGACATGGGCATCCCTGCCCACTGACCACCCAGCACGTTCATCACGTCCACCTGCATCATGGGGAACATGCCCGGAGGGAAGGGGGGCAGCGGGGGCAGGATGTGGGGTGGGGGCACCCCCGGGGGAGGCGGCGGTGCCGGCAAAGGTGGGGGCGGCACTGTTACTGCCGGGTGGGTGGGGGGCGGCAGGGTGGCGGGGGCGGGGGAAGCGGGGGCGGCATGGGGAAACCAGGCTGGGGAGGGGCGGGGCGGTGGCGGTGGGAAGCCGGGGGGCGGCAGGGGGATGGCCGTCGCCAGCACTGCCGGGGTGGTGACTGATGAGTTCACCACGATGGGCTTGGGGCAGTCGGTGCTGGTGATGGGTGTGGAGGGCAGCTCATCATCTGAAATCTCCATGTCCTCACCTGAGGACTGCTGACCCTGAAGAGAGAGAAGACAGGGTAGGCGGCTCCCTCCCTCCCTCCCTCATCCCCCAGCCCGACTGAGCTGCCACGGAGGTGTTACTGCCTCTAGCGCACCAGTCAGTCAAAAAGAGTTTGCTGAGCACCTACTGTGTGTCAGGAGCCATGCTCATCCCCCAAAAGAAGAACCAATTCTTGTGCTTAAGGAGCATCCCATGTCTCAAAATCACAGTGATGGGGTGGTGAGAACACTGACTTCAGAGTCACAGGTTTGTAGGTCCACAGCCAGCTGAGACCTGAGAGATCATTTAGGTCACCCCCTCCTTTTAGAGAGAAACTGAGGCTCAGGTGGAGAGGACCCGAGTTAAATGATGGCTCGGCCTCTTTCCTCATCTGTCAAATGGGGGCAGGCTCCAGAGATAGGAATAACCAAGACCACTTTAAAAAAAAACCCAACAAAACTTGGATGACCACCAGATGGCACCCTTCATTACAGGCAGCGGCAGGGACCCGGGCTGAAGGTGAGTGAGCCAGGGGAGGAAGTGTCCCTGGGCAGCCTCTCATGCTCCAGCTCATTCTTCTGCGGGACCTTTGTGTCCTCAAGGGGAAGTCAGGGGGATGGGGGAGGGGAGAGAAAGGTGAAGGGGGGAGTCAGGTAGATGGGAGAGGGGAAAGTCAGGTAGGTGGGGGAGGGGGAAATCAGGTAGATGGGGGAGGGGGGAGTCAGGTAGATGGCGGAGGGGACAGAAAGGTGGATGGGGGAGGGGAGAGAAAGGTAGATGGGGGAGGGAAAGTCAGGTGAATGGGGACAGGGAAATCAGGTAGATGGGGGAGGGGAGAGCCAGGTAGATGGGGAGGGGGGAAATCAGGTAAATGGGGGAGGGGGAAGAAGTCAGGTAGACATCAGAGAGAGGGAACCAGAAAGTGAGCCTCCCAGGAGGTCCCAGTGGATTTAGTTAGACAATCTGGGTTCAAATTCAGCTTCAGCCACTTACAACTTGGTGACCTTACAGCCCATGAACACCTGCCCTGGATGTTTCCTTCTCTATAACCAGGAGGGAGGCTGGCTGGCCTGGGCCACCACTGAGGCCTCTCCCAGGTCCAACCCACCCACCCAGAATTACCACACAAACATACTTTAAAAAAAATTATTTCCTGGAAAGTCAAAAAAAAAATTATCTGGCTTGTAAACTGGAGGGCTGGCTCTAAATTTGTTGGGGCTTGTTCTGAAACGAGAGGAATCCCAGGGTTACGTAAGAAGCTTACTTTGTAAACTACCAAGTATTTCTATGGGGCAGACCAGCTGACCACCAAAGGTAGTGATTTTATCATAGATCATAGATTTAGACCCACCTGAGGGTGTCCCAACACCCTTATTTTACAGGTAAGGGAACTGAAGCCTGGGAAAGAAGTGACTGGCTCAAGGTCACTAAGATACTAAAGAGGAAGTGAAAGGCTTAAAACACAGGTTTTCTAACACTAAACTCGGGGTTCTTTCCATCGGGCTGGGAGTGGACTTCTGCGTCAGCTCCACAGTCCATTTGGGCACTGATAGGGCAGCGTTCCCATGTCTGGAAGTGATCCTCTAGAGGCTGTATATTAGTGAGAGAATTCCTGTCAACTTCCTCTTGCTGATAAGTCATGGAGAGTTCCCGGGGGTACCTGATAGTGTTGTTATTATTACTTTATGCGTATAATGCTTTAAGGCCTGCAAAGTGCTTTACAAATATATCATTTCAGTCTCCAAACTACCATATGAGCTAGGTGCCTTTATTCTCCCCATTGTACAGATGAGGAAAGTGAGGCTGAGAAGGTCAGATTACTCACCCAGGGTCACACAGCTTAGTGTCTGACATCAGATGTGAACCAAGGCCTCCCTGACTCTGGGTCCATCACTTCATCTACTACAGCCTCACACAGCTGAAGTTAAAGAGTTTAGAAATGCTCCCCCCACCCCATCCTACCCACTCAGAGGCCTCCTGGGTAAAAACTGGGATTATGGGGAGAGATGACTCCGATATACAGGATGAGGTAGGTCTTGCCCTTTCCATACAGCTAGCCTTGGGCCCTGAGGGTTCAATCCATTAGGAGAAAACTGATGCCTCCCCCCACAACAAAGACACACAGCTCCTGCCTCGAGAACCATGTCAGGAGGGGGGTGGAAATCTGCTGGGTTATTTAAATCCTTCATTTGTAGTCAGCTGCACTTGGAAGAGTGGGAAGGTGTGTGAGTAAATACACACACACACACACACACACACACACACACACACACACACACACTCAGATACAGTTGCCCAGGCTCATAAGCCTACATTCCCTGCCACCCCACACCCCTAAAAAGACCTGCCTCCCCTAAGTGGGGACAAGGAGTTGTAGAACAGAGAACCTGTGGTGTTGGGGGGGGGTTATATCTCCTATTCCCCATCCCTCATCTAGACTCACTCCTCCCCAGCTCACAGCTGATCTGAGAGATCCCTGAAGAAACTTCCTCCTTGCTCTGGAGTCTGGAAGTCCTTGGGGCTGCCTGGGCTTGCAGGTGACCCGAGCTGGGATGTGGGCACAGCTGCACACTCTCTCCTTGGGGCTACCCACCCACAGAGGGGACAGACACAGTCCCCAGGCCTCTTGACTCCTAGCCAAAAGCACACGCCATGCCGAAGCCAGGTCTGCAATGTCACGGGAGCTAGAGAAGAAGCTAGGTGTCCCCAGCCCCTCACTTTCCCTGGATTGTAGACATGCAGAGCAGGTGCAGCTACAGGCTTTTAATTAGGTCGGGTCTTGGAATAGGGGCACCTGGTGTCAGACAGGCAGGCAGCAGGGAGTGAATCCTGCTGCCTCCTGGGGGTCTAGTCTCTCCACCTCTAGCTGCCTATGGAAAGATTCTTACAGGGTGTAGAGGCAGGGCTGGGAAGCTCTCCTAGGCTCCCTCCCTCCCAGCTCTTCCTCTTGCTTCTCTCCCCCCCCCTTGTCTTCCTCCTTTCATCCAATCACTTCACCTCAAAAAGCCTCAGTTGCCTCATCTGTGAAATGGGGTCAATAATGATCCCTGCTCTGCCTCCATCCGGGTGGTATGAGGATCAAGGAACCCCTGGCTATGGAAATCACTTTGTTAAAATACATGGACCCAGTTCCATCCTATAGTGGAGGGTATGACACTGGGGAGGGTCTAGGAGGGGACTACAGTTTTAGAAGTCAGGAAGGACCACTGTCTCTCCAGCTTTCAGTGGATTTGCTCCAAGACCTCCCCCCAACTTGGCCCCTTCCATATCTATTGGCTAAGCATTGGGGTTCTGACTAGTGTGAGCCAAGGTAGGACCTCAAAAACCTAGGTCTCCCTCTACAAAATGCCCCCTTCCCGGTATTCCACCTCAGCCTGAGCTGCGGGGGGCCCTCCCCCAGTGTTCCCCAGCCTCCGTCTAGTTCTCTCCGGCCCAAGGAAAAGAGGAGACCAGGAAACACCAAAATGTCTTTTCCTGACCCTCCATCCACCCTGTTTATTTCTGCCAGCCTCTCCCGGGGCCCCTCCTCTGCTCAGAGCCGGCCCATACTAATTATAGACTCATTAATTACCCTGGTTAAGGGGAGGGGAAGATGGGGCCTGGATGATTAGAAGGGAGGAGACAACCTTGCCCCTTCTAGGCACCTGGCAGGTTCTGGGCACGCACTGCAGACAGGTCCCTCCCGTGGCCCAGCCTCCAGGAGTGCTGGGATCTGGGATGTTGTTATTTTGTCCTGGCCCCTAGGGGAAGTGGGGCGGGGCAGCGGAGATGCTTTAGGAAACCTGGAGGAGAAGCTGGATACCTGGGTCCCAGGGGCCTAGTCCTATTACTGACTCTGGAGGAAGAGGGAAACCCTTTTCTTTTTTTGGAGGGGGGGAGGAATCAGCAAACCCCCAAACTGTCTTTCTTTCCCTTGTCCAGTATGGCAGAGGCAGAGAGAGAGAGAGAGAGAGAGAGAGAGAGAGAGAGAGAGAGAGAGAGAGAGAGAGAGAGAGAGAGAGAGAGAGAGAGAGAGAGTGAGAGAGAGAGAAGCAGCCTGGATCTGGGGGACACTATATGTATGTATGATCTGACTTTCCCTTCCAAGGAGAAAGTTCAGGTCCAAAAGCTGGCAAAAAAGGTGGCAACCTGTCTGCCTGGGCCTCCGTTCTGGGGACACCATGGGCAGGTGGGGAGCAGAGCAGGGGATGAGGAGGAGAGCCGGCCTGAGGCACCCTGAATCAGCGAGGCCACGCAGGTATCTGCCTCCCAGAGCCAGCACGTGGGTCCAGACCTCCCTCTTCCTGGCCACGAATCAAACCACTGAGAAATGAGAGTGAGGGAAACCCTTGCCTGCCAGTTCTTATCACACCCGTTGGGCTTCCTTTCTGAGGCCAGCATGAGGACCTCAAGCGGCCAGGATCACTTCAGAGTTCCTCATTTTCAATCTCACCCACCTAGGGCCTGGCTAGACTCCCCAACCTCTAGGTTGGCATCGCCCCCACCCCTGCTCCTCGACACCAAGCTTCTGCCTAATCTGCCCCCCACCCCCCCAGCTGGACCCAGGGCACCCCTGAGCCTCAACACCAGGCAGTTGAGAGTATCAAGTCCAAAGACCTAGTTTTAGGGAAGGGGAAACTGAGGCCTGGGGGAGGTAGTATCCTAAAACTAGGGTTGGAAGGCACTTCATCAGAAATTGAGCCCAAAGGGCAGCTAGGTGGCGCAGTGGATACAACACAGGCCTTGAAGTCAGGAAGACCCGAGTTCAAATTCAGCCTCAGACACGTAACACTAGCTGTGTGATCTTGGGCAAGTCACTTAACTTCACTGCCTAGCCAAAAAAATTAAATTACAAAGGGGAAACCAAAATTTAGTGGAGATAAAAATGTCCTTTTGTTTCCCATCCAGGTGCATAAACCCCCTGAAATCTATGCCTGGAGCCCCAAGTGGGTGTTTAACTCAGGCTAAGTATGCCTATTCTAGGTTATCGTGAGTAACAGTGGTAATAACCGCCACTCACTAGTACCTCACTGACTACGTGCCCGGCACTGTGCTAAGCACCTTACAACTATTATCTCCTCTGATCCTCACAATAACCCTAGGAGGGAGACACTACTATTATTATTATCATCCCTACTTTACAAATGAGGAAACAGAGGCAAACAGCACATGTGATTTGTCCAGGGTCACACACCTAGTAAGTGTCTGGGGCAGGATTTGAACTCAGGTCTTCCTGACTCTGGGCCCTGTTTCACAGATGAGGAAGCTGAGAGGTCTAGCGCCTCATCCAGGGTCACTCAGCCCATACTAAGTGTTGGTGTGTCTGCCTCCAACTCCCTCCACAGCACTAACGTCATCTCCTCTCAAACAAGATGAACGTTGGTCAAATCGTTTAGAAACCTCAAGATGCTATAAGACTGTCAGATAATTTCAGAAGACTAGGTGACCCTGGGACTCAGTTTCTTCATCTCTAAAGTGAGACTTGCTCTGACTCTCTCCCTCATGGGGTGGTAGGGGAAGGCCTTCAGAACAAACAGAAGGCAGAGGTTATTGTTTGGCTGTGAGAGGTAGCCACTGGTCCAGGGCCCCACAGGATGTAACTGGGGGGTGGGGCCCAAAGTCCATCTGGAAACTGCCTTGGGGGTCCCACAGGGGCCACATTCTATCCACTGACTGAGATCCACCTATGAGCTCATACACGGCCCATCTCCTTCCCCAGCCGGCCCTCTCTCACCCTCCCCATCTCAGGGCAAGACCCCATCCCTTACCCCACACTTAGGCATTAGGCTGGTGGTAGGAGACCCTAAGACTTTTTAGGCTATATCACCGCTCCCCCCTGCTGAAAGAAACAGGCCAGAGGAGAAGATGGGACCCCTTCCCTGTCTAAGGCTCCCTTCCCCCAGCACACTGCCTGCCATCCCAGAACACCACAAAGCTCCAAGCTAAGGCAGGATCCACCTGGGCAGATGGCCCTAACCCTTCCCCTTCTTCTCCCCTCTCCAGTGGTTCCAAAAAGGACAAAGTGCTCTTTTCCAGCGGGAGCTCCAGGACCTTAATCAAAGGCTCCCAGGGCCGGCAGCCCACCCACAGAGAGCAGAGTGGTCCCATCCTTGGGCCAAAACACTGCCCACACTCTTGGCCCCCCAGGCAGATGGCCGTGGGGTGTGAAGGACTAGCGCTCTTGCTGGGTACTGGAGAGGTTGAGACAGTTCAGGCCCCAAGGATAGGAAGAAGTCAGGATAACATAAATCCACAGATAACCCCCCCAAAACCCAGCCACAAGCTCTTCTCTGTCCCTAAGAGTGACAATTCCCTTCTCTGTCCCTTCTGGAACCTTATTCATCCTTTCTCTACCTCACTTTAAGCCTGTCGGGAATTTCTCTCTCCTCTTGCTCTAAACTGGGCCCAGTCCACAAGCGGACAGCCAGGCCTTGTTTGGTGGTAGCTTGGCCAAGATTGAGCCAGAATCTTGAATGGGTGAGCGGGGATGGGAACTGGCATTGGGCATCCCATCCTCTCACCTACCTCCTTCAGGAGTATGGGGGGAGGGAAGAGGTCCTTGAAAGTGTCCCACCCTGTGCGATAGCAGGGCTATCTTAGCTGGCTCTGTCCTCTGCAGCTGCTGCAGGTGCCCTGACCTGGAGATGCTGCTGGGGTAATGAATCCTACCAACCTCAGCATTTGGAAGGACAGTGGCCTGGGAAGGGAAAGCTCAGGCTCTTCCGTCTGCTATCTGCGGGACCTTTGGCAAGTCATTTAATCAGTTTCCTCATGAGTAAAAGGAAGTGGGGGGAGGAGGCTAAGGTCTCTTCCAGCTTCACACCTAGGGGTGAGAATCTAGACAGGACTCCCGGGTCCTCGACGTTTATGGCTCCACTCTCAGGAGGCCGGACACCTAACAGATATGGCTGTGGGGCTGAGGAGTGCGTGACAAAGTCCCAGCAAGAAGGCACATCTCCGTCTCCTTGGTGGACCCTAGGGGATAACCTGGCTGGGGACAGGATGGGGGGAGAGACGGTCCAAAGAGGAAAAGAAAGGTCCGAAGAGAGGGCAAAAGGGAGGCCGAAGGGAAGAGAAGAGACATCAGTCCTGACCCCTGACAGGACCAGAGACAGCTCTCCAGGAGAGGCCATGACTTTGTGATCTGGACGTATTTTAAGTGGGCTGGAAGGTGGTGCTTTCCCACCCTGAGTAGAGCCAGGGCTGTTCTGTCCCACTCCTCTCTGCCCCAACAGGGAAGAGGAGCAGGAGTGGGGAAGATAGGTGCGAGTACTGCAGGAATCTCCAACGCACCCCTTTGGAAGCACCTCTGTGGGCTCAGGCCCAGAGGCCCTCTCTAGCCCCCAGCCCCCCAAGTTGGGTTGGGGTAAATCAGGAACACAGCTGTTCTTCCCTCCCTTCTGTCAACAAGGGGAGGAGGAAAGGAGATCAGGAAATGTCTCTCCCCAGGGACTCCCTGAACTCCTCTGTTTAAGAAATCTGGCTAAGAAGCCAGGGCTGGCAGGGCAGGGGCCCCAGTATGGGCTGGGATCCCCACTCTCTCGCCCATATTCAGAGTTAAAGGCAGAAAAGGCTGTGAACATCTCAAAAGAAGGGAGAGGGGCCGGGGGCGCGATCTGGCCCCTGGGAGAAGCAGGCCAAGTGGTCCTTATCTGGACCAGATAGCAGGGAACTGAGCAGGAAGGCTAGACTGAGCCTCGTCCAAGCCAACACTTGTGCCCTCCCACAAGGGAAGCCTGTCATTAACCAGCCGTGTGACCTTCGGCCTGTCACCCGCTCCCAGGTCTACAATCCTAAAGACTCCCTGAGGTTTCAGAGCCTGCAGCCTTGTGCTCTCCTGTTCACGCTAAAGGGGAAGAGGACAGCAGAGACCACAGACTGAGCAGGCTCCCCGGGTACTGCACTTACCTCATCCATCTTCTCTGAGGTCGGCGTCCTCTCCCCAGCCATCTCCTTGGCCGTCTCGGCCCCATGGCCCAGAAGACCGGTTGGGTCAGGGGGGGCCTGGCTCAGGCGGGGGGCGGGGACCCAGGCCCAGGGCCAAGCCCAGGTCCTCCTCATCGTCCGAGTCTGGCAGGGGGGTTGGGCTGATGTCCTCCAGGCCCGTGCTGGAGGGGCGGGAGGAGGGGGTCTGGCCTCGGAAGCCTGGCTGGGAATTGGAGCCAAAAGTGGGCAGTGGGGAAAGCTGAGAGGAAGAGGAGGAGATGGGGCTGCCTTCCATGCGCAGCTCTGTGTCCGAATCGTGCTCCCGCAGGAAAGGCAGTTTGGTTCTCTGCTCCTTCAGTAACATCTCAATGCGGGAGTCGAGGCTGTCATGCGGCTTCTCCGAGGACGGCGGAGACGACTCCAGGGTCGGTGTCCCGGGGCTGATGCAACGCTCAGGGCTCCAGCCAAAGCTGGGGCCCCCGCCAGGCTCCAGGCTGTTCAGCTCGGGGGGCGGCGGTGGCGGCGGCGGCCCAGGGGGAGTCTCGGGTCGCTCTTTGGCCACAGAACCAACAAGAGCGGGGGGCTCAGCCGGGGGCTGTGCCCGGCGGTACTCGCCACCATCCCGGCCCCCCTGGCCAAAGGCCGGCATGGTCACTGGCTCCTCAGGGTGCGGGGCAAACAGGGCTGGAGCCTGGTACGGGGAGAAGGCCGACTTGTAGTTGGTGCTAGTGTGGCCCAGGGGGGCCGAAGGGGGAGTATGGGAATACTGGGGGGCCTCTGGCTGCACGTGGGGCTTGTAGGAGCCGCTTCCACCCCCTCCCACCCCGCTGCTGCCGCTGGTGGTGGCGGCAGCGGCGGCAGCGAGCGGCAGCAGCCCCAAACGTGTGCTCGGAGGAGCGGAAAGCCCCGGACGAGTTGTGCACGTAGTGGTGCTCGTGCCGGCGGTTGTATGCGTCCGTGAACTTGGTCTCGTGACGGCGGGCCTTGTAGCCTGCGTCCTGGCTGTAGTGGTAAGAGGGCGTGGGCTGGCGGCTGGAGTAGCTGGAGTCTTGGGAGAAGGGGGTGCCCAGGCGGGGCGTGAGAGGTGTGCACTGGCCGTAGGAGTTGGGGGTGTCCAGGCGGCTGCTGGAATAGGCGGTATCGTGGGAGAAGGGCGTGCTGCTGTTGGGAGTGACCGATGCCGAGGAGCCGGCTGAGGCTGCGCTACTGCTACTGTCCTTCAGGCGCTTCAAGGCATCCGTTAACTAGATGGGGGCAAGGGGAGGGGGGGAGAGGCATGAGCCAGGGAGGCAGCCGGCCCCCAGCAAGTTCCAACCTACCCTGCCAGACCTTTCTCCAATAAACTCCCCCAATATGTTGCACAGATTTAGATATCTCTATACATTCACGCTTCATCTCCCTGCTTCAAGGCAGGAACTTTGACACTTTCATCTTGTCTTGGCTCCCCGGCACAGAGGAGGCACTTGGGAAATATCTACCATCCCTCAAGGACAGGTTCAGAGCCCAGAAACCAAACCCACTCTACCACGGCCCATCTGTGAGATACTCAGCCACTCACTTCAACTCTCTCTGCCTTCCCTCGGATCAGGCTGCCACCAAGGGGACATCCCTTTCCATTCTAAAGCAGATGCGAACCCCATCCAAGCTATCTCCAGCTTCCTGAATCTGTGCTCAGCTAGTTCTCTCTAGGTCTGGGACGGCATCTCCCCTCCACCCCATCCTCACCCCCTGCCCACCAATGCCAGTCTCGGCAGAGGCCCAACAAGGAAGGAGTAAGATTAATGACAGTAAGAGCTCACACCTCATGTTTACTAAGCATTTTCCTCACAACAAACCTGCCAAGTCAGAAAGCCCAATTATTGTTACACCCATTGCACAGCTGAGAAAACCGAGGCTCAAGAAAGGGCAATAAGAAAATACAATCGAAGAGGGAAGAACACAATCTCTCCTAAGTGTAGAGTTAGTGGCAAAACCACTCACTTCAGTTTTGTCTCCCGATATCTAAAGATCTTTCTTTAATAGGCTCATTAAATCATGGATCCTGAGGGGAAAGGGACCATGGGCCTGCAAGTTCAATTCCCCTCACTGTACAGATAAGGAAACTGATGCCCAGGGAGACAAAGTCATTTAAGTAATTAATTTATTTACTAATTTATCAAGAGCACTGATTTAGAGCTAAAAGAGGAAAGGGGTACTGAATCCCAGAGAGAGAAAATAACTTACCCATGGCCACTGAAGTTGTAAGTAGAAGGGCTGGGATAAAGACAAAACTCATACAAGGAGGCAAAGGCCAGAGTTTGGGGGTGAGGATCTGTCCTCACTTTACTGCAAAGGGGTGCAGGGTCCCTCTCTAGGTGCTGCTCCCCACCCCCCACTTGGGGGCTCAGGGTGGGATCCTCTTACCCCATCGACCCACACACACACTCTCTCATACTGTCACTCTCTTCCTCAAAATACAAGTTCATTCTGGGCTTCTGACCCAAATCCCCTATAGCTGAGACTTGTTTCAAAGCAAAGATTCCTTTCCCTAAAATAAAAAAAAAAAAGATTCCCTTTACAGGAGAGCTCTTTCTGAACCCATCTCCTGGGTAAACTGAGGCATACTTGTCGACTAATTCAGCCTGGAAAACGGAGGAGTGCCTTTAACTTCCAGGGACTGGGAGAGGGAAAGAGAGGGAGAAGAAGGAGAGAAAGAATCCAGATCATGCCAAGAAGCTGAGAGAGAGAGAGAGAGAGAGAGAGAGAGAGAGAGAGAGAGAGAGAGAGAGAGAGAGACACACACACACACAGACAGAAGACAGACAGACAGACAGACAGACAAAAGTTGTGGAGGAGGACCGAGAGGAAAGTCAAAGAATATTTAGTGAGAAAAACAAAAAGGCAGGTGGTTTGTTTGAGCAGCTGAAGAATTATAGTCCCTGCTCCCTCTTCTCCATCAAAGTTTCTTCTGCAGGGCAGGGTCCATGACCGGGGATAGAGCTAGGCTCCCCCCACACACAAGGAGGTGGAGGTAGGCTGGAATGGAAGTGGATGGGACCACCTGGGCCCCTGTGGTCCCATCATGAGAAATACCAGCACACAGGTCAGATCCCATGAGGGTACCTAAAGACTTCTGGGGTGACAGGGAGAGAGATTTTGCTGGGCTAATTAGCCCCATATGGGCTTCTCCCTGTTCCGGAGATGTCTGCTGGAGGGGGATATTGGTTAATGCTTAAAGGGATACAGGAAGCAGTAACACCCAGAGGAAGCAATTTTTCTCTCAAGCATGGAAGCTTTTAGTTTCTTGGGAAGTAAGGGGCAAAAGAGGAACAGACATTTATTAAGTACCTACTGTGTGCCAGGCACCATACTAAGTTGCTTTACAAGTATCTCATCTGATCCTCACAACACCACTAGAAGGTAGGTACTATTCTTGCCATTTTATAATTGAGGAAACTGAGACAGACGGCAGTCAAGTGACTTGCCCAGGGTCACACTGCTGGTACATGTCTGAGACTGGATCTAAACTCACGTCTTCCTGACTTCAGGTCTGGCACTCTATCCACTGTACCACCTAACTACAGGGTCAAAAAGGTCCTACTAGGAGGGGGCAGCTAGAGCGCCCACCCTGGAGTCAGGAGGACCTGAGTTCAAATCCGGCCTCAGACACTTGACACTACCTGTGTGACCCTGGGCAAGTCACTTGAACCCCACTGCCACACACAAAAAAAAGGTCCTACTAGGAAGCTGAGTCTTACATGCTAGGGGCCAAGGAGAGGGTTAATAGGAAGTAGGGATAGGACCCTCCAACGCTGGGGAGACAAGGATCTGAGACACGGGGCTCAGCTGGGAGCTCTGCCCGTGGGGAGGAGCCCACTGGGGCACAAAGTTTGTTGTTGTTTCTCAGGATTTTTACATTTGAAAAAGAAAGGGAAGAAAACGGTTCCCTGGGGCCCCTGGGTGATCCCTCACCACGTCCTGGGTGAGGCAGCTCAGAACCTAACAAGGGGGATGGGTGAGAGCCTGCAGAGCAAAAAACTCGCCAGCCTGGAAGTCTGGCCCCCATTCTGCCACTGTGGGCTCTAGGCCAAGCTCATCTCCTTGGTGAGCCTCAGTTTTCCCCAGGACAGTGCATTCCCTCTATTGCACTTAGCACAGGGACAGGGCACACAAAGTTCCACACAAAGAGCACCCTCCCTGGGGGTCGGAACTGCTTTGGACAGAACACATGATGAACTGGGGGCTCCAGAGTCACAAAGGACAAAGCAGAACCCCTCCCCACCACTCATCTTTCCCCCTTGACCTAGTTGTGAAGAATCTGCATTCTGCTTTACACACATTATCTTATCTGAACTTTACAACTATCACAGGGACAGAAGTAGTGCAGGTATTATTCCCATTCTACAGATGTGAAAATTGAGCCTAATAGTCACAGACTGTCAGGAATAGACTCTGAATCCAGGTCTTCCTTCTGCTAAGTCCAGCACTTCTGGCCACCTCTGTAAAGCCACTTCTTTCATGACTTTCTTTTCTACCCCCCCCTCCTGACACAGACACACAAACACATCAACCCCACAAGGGTCAGCTAAGGCTGAGAAAGTTGGGAGAGACAAAAAAAATCACAGGGCCCCCACAGGGAATCGCCCAACTTACCTGCAAAGTTTTATTGACCGTCGGGGAGGCGTCCAGCTCGATGCCCACTGGGAGGGTCTGGGGGAGTGTACAGGCCATTCACCAGCAACTCATAGAATCGCATTCGAGTTTCGCCTGCGCAGACCACGGGGAAGAAGACGTCTAATTAAGTGAGCAGGGACGACCCGGCCTCTTACCTCTGCACTGAATGCCTGCTTGCCAGGGACTACCCGGGGCAGCCCAGGCTCTAGAGGGATAGCTGTGGAAATAAGGTATGGAGCAGTACAGGAGAGAGTAGGAAAGTAGACTCTAAGCCTATTTTTTTCTCTGATGATCCTAACTGCAAGTGATACACACCCAGCCCTGGGTCTGCTAAAGGCAGTGGAGAAGACACCAGATGGGTGGGTGACAGGGAAAGTCACTGTCTCCCCTTTTAAAATGAAAAGGGGGCCATCTTCAGCGGTCCTGATCTATATCTGGCCACTGGACCCTTCTCCGGAGGAGAGAATGAGGCTGGTAACTCTGCACGGTCTCCCCCCAACCTTAAATTAAATTCACTTCCAGTCACGGCATCACCTTCCTGATGCCATGGTCCTCTTCAACAAACCACAACAAAATGAAAGGGTAAGGGAGCTCTAAGGGCTGGCATTCTGACCCTGATACCTTAAGTGGTCCTGATTCTTCCTTTCCCTGAAGGGGTTATGGTCCAGGCAGCTGTGGGGATCAAGCCAGGTCCCCCAAAACCCTGAACTCTGATAACTCAGTTACTCTCTCCAGATATCCTTCGATGTTCAGAAGCTGAGCTCAGCACCCCAATGCCTCTTCCCTCTACAGAAGTTGGGGGTATCTGATCAAATACCCTACTCTTTGGGCTTTTAAAATCATACAGTTCAGGCACTGACAAAGCAACTGATTCCCCCCCAGGCAAAGGCCTCCCAAGGGGCTTGCGTTTCACTGGAGGACTTCATAATGAACATGGGTGCTGGGATGGATACCTCAGATCTAGGGATGAGAATGAGTGGATGTCCCACGGGTTATTTTTTAAAACCCTCAACTTGGAGGATACTGTTCAAAAGAGATCTGGGGTGAGGACAGAAAGCCAGGAGCATACACACACACCACTAGGTGGGTTTTGTTTTGGTTTCTGGGTTTTTTTGGGTTGGGAGTGAGAAGATACATAGAACCACACAGCAGTACAAGCAACCATAATATCACAGTTGGAGACTTGGAAGGGACCTCCGAGTCCATCTGGTCTGACCTCATTTTACAGAGGAGGAAACTGAGGCCTAGACAAGTAGCTTGCTCAATCTGGACTGGGTCCTATGACAGCTGCCAATCACAGCATCTCAAGCATTGGCTGTGGCCTCCTAGTCCAAACTGCACCTAAGCAGGTGTCCAACTTCCACCGCTCATTCAGTAACAAGTCCTGTGCACATCTGCAAAGATCCCACTGACTTTCCTTCTTCTCCTCTATTCCACATCTCTGGCTGAGCCAACCCCTCCTCTCACCCCAATCCCTAAAGCTAAAAAGGTATCAACCCCTTCTGCCAGAATTACTGGCCCATGGAGCCTCACAGCTGCAGACAACCCAGACCGCATGGTAAGCCACCTTAATTATCAGTATTTATGTAACCCATGACCCCTCTAGGGCACGGTTGAAATATGCAAAGCACCTCCATTCCTTGAGTTACAGTAAACTTTCCTCTTTTCTTGAAATACAAGATCTGTGACTGGTATCTTCAGGACCTTTTCAATCAGACCTGATTAATTAACCAAGAGTATGTATGTGTGTGGGGATCAGGGTAGGAACTCTCTTTCTCAGCTTGCTAAGAGGTCACACCTTAGGCCCCCCCCCCCCAGTCTGAAGAAACGGTGCTGGATCTGGACCCAGAGCGTCAGAATTTTAAAGTCACTAGAAATTAGAAAGAAGGGGGGCATAGCTGAGAAAGAAGGCTGGGACACTCCACTTCCAGTGCCATTTTATGCTTCCCCAGTCCCACCACTGTGCCTAGCCCTGGATCACTACGTTAATTGATCGCCGGGTAAAGGAATCCCAGAATCTAAGAGCTGGAAGGAATCTCACTGCAATCTGGTGAAGGACTGGCCTATTCTAGATGAGAGGGAGGGTAGAATTTTTTCCCCCTGGATTCTTCATCCTGTTCTTCTCTTATTCCAGGTATCTACGCTAATGGCTCACTGAAAACTAGAAAGGCCAGTCCTGCCTTACAAGTCACCAGGCAGAGCCACTTCCCGCCCAGCCAGGCTTGTGCCACCCAGGAAACCGCTCAAAACTCAGGAACTCTGCCCAGTGTCTCCTGGGTTTGGGGCAGAAATGACAGGCTTAACAGGGAAGAAGGCACATTCAGTCTGCATTCTCCATCTGGATCAGAATTCCTCCCCGTATGTGAGAGCCCCGAAAGGGGAAAAGAAAATACAATTTTGACTAAAACTCTTGAGAGAAGTCCACTGACAAATCCTGAAGAGGGGGTATTGGGGATCCCTGCCACAGGTCAGTGGGATAGCCACCAGTATCCAGGAGAAAGAATGGAAGAATGGGGGCAAACAAGCGACTCATATTCTGCCACCACCACCCCCAGTTTGTCCTCTTTCCTGTTTTTAGAGGCAGATTGCACAGGCATGTTTTTTTTTTCACACTGTGGAGGGATTCCTGCAGAGAGGAAATGCTGCTATCCCTTTAAGAGGGAGTGTGGAAAGAAACACACAGTTGTCAACCCCTGTGCAGGATTCTGAAGCAGCCCGGCTTCATCATTCACTATTTATCAATGAAATAGCTGCCCCGGGGAGATGGGGGTAGGTTGGCTCCCTTTCCAGGAGGGACCACAATTTCATTCCACCACTTTATTTACAGAAGGCCCCCGTAGTCACTCCCAGCATGCAAAATCATCCCCCCACCTTTCAAAAGATACAAACACCCCAGTAAACAAAAGGGGGCCCCAACAGCACAGGGGACCATTTAAAACCAAGACACAAAGGCTGGTAGGGGGGAGCTATGGAGGCACTGGGGGAGCAGGGTAAACCCAACTGGGACTAATTTTCTGAGTGGTCCCGGGGGGGGGGGGGGGTGGCCAAGGACTGGAACATTTTGTAAATTACAGCTTGTCTCCTAGCAACAGACAACACATTGGGCTCCACGTGATTCTGCCAGGGGTAGGGAAGGGGGGGGCAAAAAAAGGGAGGAGGCTTCAGAAGGGAAAAAATTGAGCTAAAACCCAACATTCCCTAACTGAGAAGGGGGGGGAAGAGGAAGCAGTTTGAGGAGGAATGATGAATGATCGAGATGAGCAGCTTCTTCCAAGTCCCTCACCTTCGAGCTAGCTGCTCCAGGATTTACCCACCTTTAGTGTCCAGCTCCACGTGAATGATGTTACCCATGACCGAGGTGTTGTGTAAATGTTGCACGGCCTCCCGAGCCCCCTTTACGGTGGCAAAAACCACCTTGGCAATGCCCAGATGTTTCTTGTTCTTGGGGTTGTAAAGGATCTCCACCTCCTCCACCTCCCCATATTTCTTGCACATGTCGGTCAGGAAGTTTTCCCTGATGTTGTCATTGAGTTTGGCAAAAGTCACCTGCTTGGGAGGCACCGGCCCCACGTAGAATTCATCGATCTGGGGGGGAGGGAATTTGAGGGAAGAAGGGGTAATCAAGATTGAAAAAATTAAAATTTAAAAGGAATGCTGATACTTGCAAGCATCATGCCACCAGTGTCCCCCTGTCCCAAACCTTAAAGGATTAGAAAATAAATAAATATATATACATTTTTTTTAAATGCACGCGGGCGGGGACAGAAAGCCAAGGATTAAATCGTTTGGAACGTGGAAGTCCTAGGGTTCGGAAGGAAGGGGGGGGATATGAAACAGTTTCCCTTGCGGCCGCCGGGCCCCCCCCCCCCCCCCCCCCCCGCTCAGGGGCCTTCCCCCCTTTAAATTGAAGGAGAGGGCAGTTCTGGGGAGATGTTCCCTAGTGTCAGTGACACCCCCTACCTCAAGAGCTGAACCCCTCCTGGGGATGCCTCTGGAAACACACCCCTTCCAGGCCAGTGGGACAGAGTATCCACAGCCTCCCTCCCTCCCTCCCTCCCCTACAATCTGGATGGTTGTTGCAATGTTGACAGCAGAAAGAAGCCGGGCTGCTCTAAACACCAGTTTGCCCCCCCCTCTTTTCCATACACACACATAGACAGGCGGGAACCGGGGCCATGTCCTTCCCAACGGTATTTTAGAATTCGGGGTAACTCCCCCCCTCCATAAGTCCCAAGTTCCCTGTCTAGGGAGAGGGGTCACTACCTTGAATTTGGGGACACGAAGTTCCAACTCCTTAGTTTTTGTCCATGTCCTTCTGACTCTCGGGTCCTCGATTTTCACCGAGAGAAAGCACTGGGTCTAGGGGGGAGAGTGGGAAAGAAAAAAAATAGAGTTCTGAGATTGAAGGCAGGGGGGTGGGGGTGGAAACACATATACACCTCCAGGGAAATGTGGATAGAGGAAGCAGCCCCTTCCTCTCCATGCTCCCTCCTCCCCCATGTGTCAAAAGTCAGGTGCTGAAAGAATGGGGGGGACAAACCCGGCTGGACCTGGGAACCTGACAGTTGAACACTGTCGGGGGGAGTGGGGGGAAAGGCTACTGAGGGTTTCCCCCTGACGTTTCCATCGAAACGGGAGGGGGGAGGTCCCGGCAGGTCCTCTTGCTCTTTGGGCCCTGGAAGGAGGAGGAAGAAGGGGGGTGCTATCTATGTTTCAGCAAAGAAGGAAGGGAAGAAAGACATCCCCCCACTCCACTCACAGCCTTGCTGAAATGCTGTCCATCGTAACGGTAGAGTTTATGCTGTCCCTTCTTCAGCTCGGGGTCAATAATCAACTTGTAACTTCTCCAATGGTGGTTTCTCTTCTCCCCCGAAGGTCCAGGCTGCTGGTGGTGGTGGTGGCTACTGCTCTCCATGCCGTTAACCCAACCTGAAAAACGACCGACACCAACTTGTGTCTCTCCCGCAGAGGCAAGGGCGGCTTTCAAAAATTAAAAAAAAAAATTGCCCCCCCAAAGCCTCCACCCCTCCCCCCGCCCGAGCCTTCCCCGTCTCCAAAAAACCCGGTGATTATTTTTGTAAAAGAAGAGCGGAGCAGCCAGCCCGCTCGCCTGCCCGTCTGCCCGCCAGGCAGCCAGCCGGCCAGCCACCAGGCTGCCCGCTGCCCCCTTCCCCGGGCGGACAGGAGCGATCCCGGGCTAGGGAGCAGGCAGTGGCGGCGGCGGCGGCGGCAGCAGCCTGAGATGAGCGGCGGCGGCGGTGGCGGTGGTGGCCGGGGCAGAAGGGGGGAGCTCACTTGAACTCTGCTTTTTGCCATGATCTTCGGCGTGGCTGCTCCCTCGCCCCCCGGCCCGGATCCCTCGGAAGGCCATGGTGCCGCTGGGGCTCGGGGCTGGGGGGTCGCGGGCCGCCACCAGCCCGCTCCCGCTCCTCCTCCTCCCAGCCACCCCCCCAGCCTGGCTCCGCCGCGGCCTCCGCTGGCCTCTCCCGGGGAGGGGGGAGGGAGAGAAGGAGGGAAGGGGAGGGGAGGGGAAGGAGGGAGGGGAGAGGAAGGGGGGAGGGGGAAATAGGGAGCCCCTGCTTACATCCCCGCCGGGCGCCGGCCTCCCTGCGCGACCAGCCTGTACATGGTGTTCCCCGCGGGAGCCGAGGCTGGGGCGGCCGGACCGGGGGCTAGCTGAGGCTGCTGCTGCGGCTGCTGCGGCGGCGGCGGCTGCTGCTGCTGCCGCTGCTGGAGGAGGCGGCTGGCGGCAGCGGCTCGGCTCCCAGTCCCCGCACATCCCACAATACACCGCTATGGAGCCCGACCCAATCTCTCACCCTCCTCCTCCTTCCTCCTCCTCCTCCTCCTCCTCCACTCTCCTCTCCCCCTGGCGCTCGCAGCAGCTGCGCTGCAACACCCCCCCCCCGCCAAGGCCACCCCCCAACCTACTCTCCCCCAGCCTGGGGCGGAGGCCCGAGGGCCTGGGCTGGGGGGTGGGAGGGAGGCCCGGGGGACTGGCTTTTAATTAATGCATTTTATTATCTCTGGAGGAGGATCGGGATTTTGACTAGGAGGGAGGATTTGAGAAAGGGGGAGGGGGTTCCCTTCCTCCTCCCTCTCCCGAAATTGGTTTCCCCCGGGCCCACAGTGTCCGGGCGCAGCCAGCGTTTACCTTCGGCCTCCTACACTGTTTTAGAAACAAGACGGACTGGAGGTGGGACCTCCTGACTTTGGGGTGGGTTTTATTTTGGGGGTATGTGTGTATGTGTGTTTGAAGTCGAGGGAGCCTCGGCGCGGGATCTCCTAGGGCTGCAATCGAGGGATACCCCTTCCTCTCCCTGCTCTCCCTCTTCCTCCTCCTCCTCCTCCTCGTCTCGCCCTGCTCCCCCAGCAACCTCGGAGCAGAGAACAGGATTTCCAAATTAGCATTACGCTGCAATCATTGGGCTTCGCTGGAAGGATGCAGACCGACCTCAGCGTGCTTTTCTTTCCTCCCCTCTTCTTCCCCTCCCCCTTTTGGAGGAAGGACTTTTTCCCTCCTCCTCCACCTTTTTCTTTTTTTTCTTTTCTTTTTTTTTAATCTGTCCGGGGCACGTCAAATCTACCCCCCCACACACTTTCCCCAAACTCGAGTGAGTCGCTTTCTACATTCATTTTTTTTTCTTTATTAAAGGTCCTGGGACTGGCGGCGACCAATCAGCGCGCAGCTTCCATTTGGTCGCTTCTCCCCTAAAGCACCCGGTGCTTCTTCTCGATTACACTATTACAGTGGAGGCGGGGGGGGGGGGCGGGGAGGGGGAAGCAATGGGTGTTGTTTTTTTTTCCCCCCCTTCCCCTCCCTCCCGGCCTCCTCCTGGCTGAAGAGGAGGCTGCCTGTCTTGCTTCGGCTTCACGGCGGTTCGTCTCATATTGGGGGGTATTTTGGGGGTTTGTAATTGGGCCGTGGTGCAGTAATTGGCTGATTCAGGGCGCCAGGGCCCTTGGGCCAATCAGCGCGAAGCTTCTATGGGGCTTGAGTTATTAGACGCGGATCTCCAAACATCCGTCATCAGACAAGCCAAGGAGAGGCCAACATTCAGGGAGCCATTTTTCTGCCATGGAATTAAATGGCCAAGTGGGTTTTCCTTTGTTCCAAAAGGGGGAACGCTTTTCCTTTGACTCCACCATCCAGTGCAGGATTGCCCCGTGTTTTATCCAATGTTGGTCACCAATGCTAAAGGACCGATGGAAGAAGGAAGACTTCAGTTTTTTAAAAAATGATTTTGGATTTTGCTTTTTTCTCCTTATGACCTGGAATCCATCTTTGTCTTGTATAACTAGGTCATAGCCCACCATTAATGTCAGCAGTTTAAAAATTTTGAATCCAAAAAAACTTAAGTAAATAACATATTTGTTTACTTTTTTCCTTTTTTTTTTGGCTGGGGGTGTGGGGAAGGGGCTTGAGCTGTCTAATCTGTATCCTCTTGACTGAACAATAAATTTTTTAAAATATATATATAACTTCCTCTATTAAACACTTATACCTGGCCATCTTATTAACTCCTCTCCTTCTCTCTTAACAAGGTAATGTTTTAAATGTAGAGTTTTAGGAAATAATGAATTCTGGCCGTACTAAGCCACAAGAATGTAAGCCATTATGCTATGTTGTTCTTTTAAATTCTTCTCTGTTGTAAGTACCCAATCCATTCTGTCCTTATTTCGGTTCAGTGTTCATGTGAATGTTACCTAAATGTCCTAATTTCTGAGCCTTCATCTATCTGCATGTCTGTTTTTGTTTCTCCTTGTCGAATTTCAGAGCCAAATTCGTGCCTTTAAACGATGAGATAGCTTTAGGCTTTAAGAAATGTTTTAACTACAGTAAATGCTAGCTAGCTTTATTCCCAATTAGCTGGTCGATTTTCTTTAAGCAACCTCTCTTTTGAGGGCGACAGCTCTGGTTTCTCCAGTCTTGGGGGGGGCAGGGAAGAGAGAAGAAAGCCCCACTCTTATGCAGACTGAACTGGTCACAGGAAACTAGATTGAAACCCCTTCAAACAAGCCCTAAGCAATTGCTGGCAAGCTGCGTTATTAAACTGGGCAGCCTTTTCTCTAGTTGTTGGGGTGACCGGGGTGCGAAGTGGCTAACTCTCCTTTGTCTCCCGTTTTGTTTGAAGCGTCTGTTTTTTACCTTTTGCCTCTGAAATGACTCTAAATACCCTTGCCCTAGCCAGCCCCACCGCCGAAGCCAGCAAGCCTTTGGCCGAACCCTGGGAAAAGTTTGCTGAATTCGAAGGCGAGATGAAATGACATGACACTGTAATTGACAAAAAGGTAGTGACCTTCTCTTCCCCCCCCATAATAATAATAATTACAATCCAAACAAACTCCAACAAAATGGTGGGTTTTTTTTCTTACTAATAACATCACCAAACCAACGCCCAAGTTCACCTTCCAGACTCCATAGCGCCAAGCTGAGCACCGGTAAGTAAAAAACGTGCCTTTTAAAAGCCCTTGGAGCAAAACCGGCTAGAGCAGGCCCTGCTCAGCAGATTGCCTAGAGCCGAGGGACTGAGCTTGCCTGGGTTTCCAAGCTGCTTGTCGGTTGTAGTTGGCAAGGAGGGGCAGACAATATGGACAGTGGAGAAAGGCTGGATAGATACACTTTGGGATGGGTGGGGTGGGGATGGGGGTGGGGGTCTTCCTACCAAAGGACTTGGTGTATTTCTCTTTGGGACTGAGGGGGTGCTTTGAGTGACTCCTTTCCTGCCTTCGGAGGGACAGGGCGCTCCCCTATCAAGCTCTCTGCAACCCCCACACCCTTGACCACCCCCGCTGCTGGGGGGGGGACGACTGCCGCTTTTCTCCATCACTCATCCAAGCTTCTCCCCATTGCCGTCCACGATCTCGCAGTTTGAGGAAAACCAAGGAAAACAGTGGTTTAGGTTGGGGTTTTAATCTGCCCCTCCAGGGGGGCTCAGCTTGCCAAATTTAGGGGCTTTTCTTCCCGCTGGAATTTTGTGGGGGGGACCTTCTTCGATCCTCCTGCCACCCCGCCTGGCCGGGGCAGCGTAGCATGGCTCCCCCCGACCCCTGGACGGCTTGGGCAGCGAAAGAGAGGACAAGGGGAACGGCGTCCATCTTGGCGCCATGACGCAGCAGTCTTTCCCGGGCTGCTGCAATCCTGCCTTGTTCTTCTCTGCCCCAGCTCGTTTCCTCCTCCCTCTCCCACCCCGCTGCGCTCCAGTTTTATTTTGAGGTTCCAAGAGCGCGCCCAGGGTGGTTCGGGCGGGCGGGTTAGGGCCGGGGCTTCTGGGCACGGGGACGCCTGGCCCGGCCGGGGTGGCCCGGGCTAGGCTGGGCTGGGCTGCTTGCTAATGGCCGCTTCGAGCTTTCTCTCTCTCTCTCTTTTCCTCTCCTGCTGCAGCTGCGGGTTCTGGAGCAGGAGGTGGCTTCGCTGAGCTGCAGGGCCTGTCCACGCCTGGCTTGGCTCTGGGTAAATCATACTTTCGGGCTGAGTTGGAGTGGGGTTTGTTTTTTTTTTATTTGGTGTGGTTGCTTTTTTTTTTCTTTCTTTGGTGTTTTTTCTTTTGCATAGGTCTAGGTTTTAATTTTTTTATCTTCTCCCTAACACTAGCTTGGCAGGGTCGTCGGGGCAGTCTAGGGGGAGGACTGGGAGCCAGCTTTTCCTGGGCTTCTGTTTGCTAAGCCAGCAGGCTTGGAGGGGAAGAAAAGACAGGCGCCATTTCGTGCGCTGGAGGCAGCTACTTCGTGCTAGAGGAAGGGGGGTGGGGTGCGGAGGGAGGGCGGTGGCTGCAAGTGGGGGAGGGGATCGGAGGGGAGGGCGGGCTGACTGTAATCAGAGAGCCCGGGGCCCGGGCCAGCCACCGCCTCCTCCTTCCACCTCCGCCTCCTGCGAGCTCTGCGCTCCGGTGGGGGAGGGGAGAGCTGCTCTTAAAGCCGTAGGCAGCTCCCCCTCCCCCCAGCCGCAGACAAAGGGGAGGGGGAAGGAAGGCGGTGGGGGAGGGGTGACCCTGGGAGATCCCTTTCCTCTGTCGGTCTCCTCCTCCCTTCCAGAGCCTGTTCTGTCTCTAAGCTTCCTTGGGGACTAGGGAGACAGTTCCCTCTCTCTTAGGAGGCCCCCAAACCAGGGCTCGCAGCCACTTGGCTCTAAATTGAGATGGGGGAGGGGGCAGCAACTGGGTGTTGAGAGAGAGGAGGACGACCCTTCTCCGTCCAGTTCCCCAAAGCCCTTTTCAGGGTCAGCCCTACCAGGCAGACAGCAACCCTGAGAGAGGCAGTGGAGGGTTGGGTGGGACCTCAACCTATTGGGTGATGACCTTGGTTGTTTTTCCCCCCTCAACCCCCTCCCCCATTCCCAGTCAGGATGCTCAGAAACTCGGGGCTCACTTGGATACCTGGGACACACGGAAGCAGGCGGAGCCAGCCAGGGGTAAGAGTGAGTGCCCAGGGTCCGACCCGACCTTAGCCTTCCCAAGCCACACGTTCTGTTATTCAATCCAGTACTTGCAAGCCTTCTCCCCGCTTAGTTAAGAGAAGTTTGTACCCCAAGTTCTGGGTGGGACCGGGATTGGCACCAGGGCCGACAAAGACAAACACATCCCTTGCAGTAACTGGGTGTCTGGGGACCGAATTCCAAAGATGAAGCCCTGGTTTCTCATTTGTTGGATGGCCTTTGGGGTTCCCCCCTGCTCCCTATCTCCTGCTCTGATGGTGAACCCAGGCTCTGGCTTGAGCTGGGCTTCAAGTTCTCCAGGACTTGGCAAGGGCAGGGCACCCCTGAAACCCCATCCCTGGAGAGAATTGGAAGTAGTTCATTATTTAGGGGAGGGGGCCGGGAGAGGTTGGGCTCCTTCACGCTGGTTTCTCCATTCCGGAGCCATTCGGTAAGTCCCTTTGCTCTAGGAGCCTTTTTCTCCCAGTGTGGGTGGGGAGGAGGGCTGAAGCAGCCTTGGAAACTGGCTTTATAAATGGCAGCGGTTTCCTGCCTCTCCTCTCCCAGTGAAAGGCCTTTGGCGGCTCTGTTTCTCTGCTCCCCTCCCCCATCACCCCCTGCAACCCCTCTGCTGAGCCTGGCACGTCAGTTTTCCCGCAGCAGAGTCTTGTTCAGAAAGTTATAAACCCCAGGCCTTGGGGACTTAAGGATTCTGACTCCACAATAAAAACAGGAAAAACATGTTTGGTCTTTGTATGTTTGCTCAGTTCTGGATCTGGCAGTAAACAAGCTCTCCCTCCCCCTTGGCTGGATGAGGCCCTATCTTTCCCCTGGGCCTCCCAGAACAGTGACCAAGGTCACAGAACCTTTCTAGCTGTTCAGATGCTTGGCCTTTGGCCCGGGCTCCCCACCTCCCCTCCCCCACAGCCGACAAGGCCTTTCTTTCCCTATCTTCAGCACCCCACCCCCAGCTGAATTCCTCTGAATTTGCTTTCCTGGTTTATGTTGTAGCCAAAAATGGGGGTCTTGTCGACTCCCCACGTGGGCTCCATTGATGGATACATCTGGTGCTGGTTTTTAAAGAGGGACTCCTTGTGGGCTCGACCTAGCAGCCTGGGAAATCTTGGGCAGTGAGGCTACCTTGGCCCAAGAGCCCACTTTGGGGGCCCCAAAGCCGCCCGAAGCTTTTCTAGCCAGAGGCACTGGGCCCCCTTTGGTTTGCCCGCCGAGAGATGGAAGAAAGCCACTGGGACTCAGCACGCCTAGCAAGAACGGGTCGACCCCCAGTTGCCTTCCCAGCTTGGCCGTAAGGTAGGTAGCCTGCCTGTCCCTTACCCACGTGGTGGTCTGCCTGCTCCGGCCCCCCTTTTCCCCTTGAGTGGAGGCTGATTTGAGGAGGGAGAATAAGCCCCAAACAAGATGGGGGTGCTGTGGGGGAGCTCCTGTACGGTTGACAGTGTCTTTGAGGCCCGGGGCCCCCTGGGTGGCTGATAGAGCCGTGAACCTGCTTGGCCTGTTTCAGGCCCTCCTGCCCTTCCCCTCCCCCAGCGGAGATGAGTTCGATCTGTTTCCTACTTGGCTGCCAAGCCGAGAGCTGTGAGTCTGTCCACCACCCTCCATCCGCCTGGTCTCTTCTGCAGTCTCTGGCCTACCGTATTTACTAGCATAAGGCCGGTCCTGGGGGTGGGGGGAGGAAAATGATGTGACCTCTTGGATTATCTGGCTGGGGCCGTTTGAGGGAAAGAGGTAACCCATGTGTCATTACGGTCACTTTCTTTCCTGCTCCACCGGGTCTCTAAGAAAATGGAGGAGGGGGGGAGCGGAAGTCAGCCCTTTCTGAGCCTACGCCAGGCCCTCCTTGCTCCCCGCCCCCCCTTCCCTGAGCTGTCTCCACCTTTCTCTCCCTGGGACCAGAAAGCACTTTAGATAGAGATCTTCAAAAGCCCGGTACTTGGTTTAATAACTTAATAAATGTTCTATCTAATCCAGTTTTAACGAGAAGAGGAAACTGAGGTTCTGGGTGTGCCTAAACAAGGTTCAGACCCTCTTTAACCCTCTCCCATGTTAACCAATCTCCTTCCCTTACTGTAGTATATTTGTGTTACACTTATTTCCCCAGAAAATTCAGACTCCTTGAGGGGTGGGGTCATTTTTCTGTCTTTCTATCCCCAGTACGTTGCCCGCAGCTGTTTAAATGTTTGAACTGAATGAGCAGGAGAGGAAGGATTAAAACCCAAGATTTAGGATCATTGATTTTGACCTGAAAGGTGCCTTATCAACCATCTAGCCCTGCCTCCAGGCATAACAGATAAGGAAATTAAAGCCGGGGGATTGACTTAACCTAAGCTCTGATCACTTTGAAGGGACTTCCGAAAGCCATCCAACTCAACCTTTTTTACTAATGAGGAAACTGAGACTCAGCGAGTTGCAAGATTTGAATTCAGAACTTCTAACTTCAAATATAGCTCTCTGGCTTCAGACCCAGACCACCTCTTTTCCACTAACCCAGTTTTGGAACCTCTTCTGTCTCCCACCCTTATGCCTCAGGCCTAGTGACACCTCCCTCCCCTCTGTTTCCCCTCCTGATGGATTTTAGTATCTTAGCTCACTGACTGGGATTCTGTGGGAATCCCAGCCTTCCATCTCCTCTGCACTTCTGTCAGTCCTGTCTGTATTTGGAATGTCCTGGAATTTCAGATCCCCAAATCTCTTGGGGTCCGGTGCAGCTCTGCCCCTTGGGCTTAGACACTTCCCTTTGGGCCTCCCTTTCTGCCTGGGTGAAGTGACCATAATACCTGCCTTTCCCTGTCCCCCTACTGGGTTATATTTGGGAGGGTCAGCTGAGCTGATGGCCAGCTGAGGGCTTTGAAAAGCCTTTAGGAAGCTTTTTACAAATGCAAACCTCTGGTATTCTAATTTCATCCGTGGGAGGGGCTGGTGTGCGACTTCTGCTGACTGAGGAGGTCACCGGGAGGGATTTGGGGTCAGGTCTCCTTTTTAAGTAGGGCAGAGTCTTGGAGGGGGGAGTAGGACCAGAGCCAACCTTTTGGAGCTGCCCCCACTGCTCCTGGGAGGATGTGCTAGCATCCTGAGGTTAAAGGTTAACTGGGGGTGTGGGCCCTCAGGGGGTGTGAAATGATTCACCCCACCCCGGGCCTCTGAAGTGGCGATTCTGGGCCAGTCCTTTCACCACTTGTTAATGAGGGCCCCTTTGCTGGGGTTGGGTAACTCATAAACAATTAAAACAATTCCTTGCTAAACTGTGGGACGCTGCCGACCGGTACCCCAGGAGTTCAGAGAAGGGTTAGAGCTGGGGGAGAGACAGATGGATGCAGGCACCCTGGAGGAAGGGGAGGAGGGACTGGGCTCTCCCTCCTTCCCACTCTCTCTTCCCCTAATCCTTTCTTCCTTTGCCCCCCCCCTTCTTCTATCCCCGGGTGAATTTCTGGGAGTCCATGACTTTGATGGGAAAAAAGTTCATTCTATTGTCATAAACCTTTCTTTTCCTCTGCATGTATTTTATGCTTTTTTAAATGTTCTTCTGAAAAGGGGTCTGTGGGCTCTAACAATCCCCCCCCAAAAAAAGGTTAAGATCTTTTGGTCCAGAGGCAGCTAGGTAGATAGGACTTGGGCTGGGAGTCAGGAAGACCTGGGTTCGAATCTTGCCCCAGATACTTGCTGGTTCAATGACCCTGGTCAGTTTACTAATTTTCCTTAGCTGTAAAATGCAGGGTTAGACACTGGCCTCTAATGTCCTGTTCAGCTCAGAATTGATCTTTTGCTCCCTCTTTTAATCTTTCATTTCTTCCTCACTCCCTTTCCCTGGGAGTGTTTACAGCTGGAGAGAACATTGTAGGCCGTTAAGTCCGACCCCTCATTTTGTAGAAGAGAAACGTTGAGACACTGTTCCAGAGTAAATGTGGGGGAGCCAGCATTTGAACCCAGGTCCATTGATCCCAAAGCTAGCTGGCTTTTACCACTCTGGTTCCCAGACTCCTTTTCTTTTCTCCTCCCTTCCTTTTCTTCCCCTGAAGTAACACAAATTCTTCAAGGCCACACAGACAGTAGGTCCCAGAGCTGGGGTTCAGAATCATGACGACTGACCCCAAAACAGGAACTCCTAGCATTTCCCTGCCTTGCCCTCCCCCTTCTCAGTGACTGGTAGGCAGGTTCTGGGTCATATCGAGCCTCAGCTCATTGAAGGCCTGACCCTCCCCTTCTCCTCTTCCCCTTTGTCAAATGGGCATAGATTGTCATCTCAGTGTGAAATGTCCAGGCAGGTGGAGTCCTAGGCTTAGAGTTAGTAAATGTGAGACCCTGGGCAAGTCACTTAACTGAGCTCCCCCCCCCAAATCTGTAAAATGTAAAATTAGAGATGTTCATAATAGTAACAACTAACATTTATATAGACCTTACTATGTGGCAGGCTCTGGGCTGGGAGGGATGTGCTGTTGTTATCCCTATTTCACAGATGAGGCAACTGAAACAAACAGAAGTTGGTCACCCCACCCCCCAGCAAAAAAAAAAAAATTTGAACTCAAGTCTTCCTGACTCCAGGCCCAGAGCTCGGTGCCCTATGAAGCCCTCTAGAGTACCTAGCTCAGTGTTGTGAACAGTGAGTTCATGAATAGAAGTCTTTGTAAACTTTCAAGTGCTGTAGGAGTGTTAGCTATGTAATTATTATTCTGAATGACTGAAAGGCCGCCTCTGACACTTAGATTCTGTAATCTTGAAACTTTCCCGGCCTCAGTTTCCTCATCTGCAAAATGGGGATAATTACCCCTTTTAACACCTCCCTCACTGAAGTGTGAGGCTCAGATGGGAAGGTGTGCTTTGTGGGCTGGTCTCTGTCCCCTGTCCAAATGTCTGTTGTCACCATGAGGCGAAGGATGCCTTCTCCCCAGGTGGCATGCCCCTCATCCTCAGAAGCCACGTGGCAGCGGCCAGTATTCTCTGGGGGAAGTTACTGGTTGCTAGATTTTAATTTTCACTGAGACCGAGGGACTCATTTGTGTTTTCAGAGGGAATCTGCTTTCCACCTGTGTGTTTTTTGGGTTTGTTTTTTTTCCAAGGCAGTGGGGTGAAGTGACTTGCCCAGGGTCACACAGTTAGTAAGTGTCGAGTGTCTGAGGTCAGATTTGAACTCGAGTCTTCCTGAATCCAGGGCCATTGCTCTATATACTGTGCCATCGGGCTGCCCCCATACCTGTGTGTCTTCTCACTAGGCCAGAAACTTGGCTGTGTTACTAAGGCTGGGCAAGTCCCTTGAGGTCCTAAGACTGTAGACATGGAGCCCATGGTGACCTCGGGCAGAGGTCAGTCACCTGGTCTGACCCCCTTCGGAGATGGAGTCTCAGAAGAAATCACTTACCCAAGGTCACACAGAGGGAGCAAGACGTAGGGCTTGGATTTGAATCCAGGTCCTCTGGTTTTAAATTCTTCCCATCATACCACCCTGTCTTCCTCCTTTTAGTCTGATTGTTGACTCCATCGCTTACTGGAGGTGTGACCTTGGACAAGTCCCTTACCCCTAGTTTGCCCTAAAATGAAGGCTTTGGATCGGATGACCTCTGGGCTGCTTCTCTCTCTGGGATACTTTGATTCATTAAACACATTTGTTTTCAGGAGAGTGGGCCATGGTGGGAAGAGCCCTGATTTTGGCCACAGAGGAGCCTGGGCATCCATCCGTGCCAGCCCTGCTGCTTAGGAGGCAGTGTGGTTCAGTGAAGAGAAGGATAGATAGGGTCAGGATGTGGCTGGCTTCGGATCTCAGCTCTTCCGCTTACTACCTGTGTGACCACAGGCAAGTGTTTCAGCCTCTCTGGGCCTCATCTAGAAAATGGTGTTTAGGGGCAGCTAGGTGGCGCAGCGAATAGAGCACCAGCCCTGAAGTCAGGAGGACCTGAGTTCAAATGCGGCCTCAGACCATTACTGACTGTGTGACCCTGGCCAAGTCACAACCCCAATTGCCTAAAAATTAAAAAAAAATTTTAAAAATAGAAAATGGGGTAGAACTAAGTGACTTCAGGTTTCTTTCCGCTCTGAAATTGATGATCTTTGGGGTAAAGAGAGAAAAAAAAAATCAGTCCGTTCCCACTAAGCATTCATCTTCAAGCCTACTGTGTGTCAGGCACTATGCTAAACTCGAGATGCAAAGAAGGCAAATGTCACTTCTTGCCTGCAGAGGAGCTTCCTGATACTAACAAGGAAGCAACATACATACTATAGATAGAGATATATATATATAGTGTAGAGGGTAGGGGTAGGGGGCAGCTAGGTGGTACAGTGGATAAAGCAGTGGCCCTGGAGTC